TACATCAATTTGCATGTATTGTACATATTGTTGCTTTGTTTGAAAGATGCGACACATAATTTCTTTTTCATTACTGTCTGGAAAATTTATCAGAGATGAGAATCAGTTTACAGTGTTTATTGCATATTATTAGTTGCATATTTCATTACCGTTTATATATCCTATTTATTATAATTTATTCATTATTTGAAGATTATAGAATTATTGATCTAAATATTTTATCTCGATTATGAAGCAATTAAGTATATGTATATTTTGTAGATATCAAGGAAAAGCTGAACTACGACGAAACGTACCAGATTCTATTACATCATGGGTGCTGACCGCATTCTCTGTGAGCGATGCGCATGGGTTGGGCCTTATAGAGGAACCCAGAAAGGTTGTTATTTATACATATCTATGCAATTTGTGTCCAAAAAATTCTAATGTTTAATTCATCACATTCTGCATGCATAGTTTAAAAAAGTCTAAATAACATTATAACAAAAAAAGATTATTAAAAAAAGGGAAACAAAAAACTAATAGTGAAATCATAATTATAGGACTATTCTTTTCTATATAAAAATTATTCGTTGTCTGTCTATTAGTTAAAAGTCTTCAGACCATTCTTCATATCTATGGATTTGCCGTACTCGGTAATTCGGGGAGAAATCGTAGGGATACAAATTGTAGTATTCAATTACATGAATAAAGACTTGACAGCTGAGGTTTTGTTAACCAATGAGGGACAATTTGACTTTGCGGAGGTTTCTAATGAAGTTCACGATGTACCGAGTGAGTATACAAGAAATAATATAACAATCTATATGTTATAGATTTATAGTTGAACCGTGATAAGTTATGTGAATAAATTTTTATATTTGTTGATATTTTTCAGAATTGGAGTTATATCGCAGGAAGAAGGTGGATGTGAAAGCTAATTCTGGCTCAAGTGTATCATTCATGATTATTCCAAGAGAACTAGGATACATCACTATAAAAGCGACCGCTAACAGCGTTTTGGCTGGCGATAGCGTCGAACATAAGTTACTCGTCAATGTAATCACTTTATTTTTATTTCAATTTTTATTCGTGCACGATTACTTACGATGATACATGAAGACACAAACATTTGTTATTCTTCAAGGCTGAAGGAGAAACACAGTACAAGAATGAAGCAGTATTTCTGGATTTGAGAAACGTGGAAAACACGGGTGCAAACATTACTATCAATATACCTAATAATGCAGTTTTGGGCTCCGAAAGCATACAAATTTCTGCAGTCGGTAATGATACTTCTTGAATCTTATATTATTTAAATTAAAAATTAAATCAGTATCCCTCGCTCTCTTTTCTTCAACTTCTTTTCAATTTTTTAATTTATATCTAAATAATTTATATCTAAATAATTTATATCTAAAAATAAACTTGTTGCGATATGTATAAAGATACACTTACAAATATAATAGAAATTTATATTTTTTAATTTAAATTTATTTAATTTTGTAAAAGATTTTTAATGAAAAAAATATCTTCAATTTGATTATTTATTAAGGTGATATCTTGGGCCCCAGTATTCCGAACTTGGCAAATTTAATAAAAATGCCATTTGGTTGCGGCGAACAGAATATGCTGAATTTCGTGCCGAATATCGTCATTTTAAATTATCTCAAGGTATTAAAAAAATAATATTTTTTATCGTCTTCTTTTTTGATACATGCACACAAACATATAATTTAAGAAATTATCTTTTTTATAGAATACAAATCAATTAACGCAAGCTGTTCAAAGCAAAGCATTAAAATACCTGGATACCGGCTATCAGCAGGAATTAACTTACAGACATACCGATGGCTCTTTCAGCGCGTTCGGTATGTCGGATCCTAGCGGAAGTACATGGTACGCGCTCAATAAGCTTATTACATATTATTTTACAATTTATTTATATTTATACATATCGAGATATTTAAATCTTCAAATTTTATTTAAATGTTAATTACTTAAAATGATTTAAAATGTTAATCACTTCACACATAAGTTACTCCATTCATTTTCAGGCTTACAGCCTTCGTAGTGAAATCTTTCAAGCAAGCGGCTGAATATATAGCAGTCGAGGATAGGATCATAAACGAAGCCTTGGAGTGGTTATCGAATAATCAAGCATCAAACGGTTCTTTCCCTGAAGTCGGAAAGGTCAGCCATCGTGATATGCAGGGTGGAGCTGCAAAAGGACTCGCTTTAACTGCGTACACGCTTATCGCTTTCCTCGAAAATGAGGTAAGTACGATCATTATATAAAATATCGTTTTCTCTTTAATATTATTCTCTTTATTATAAACTTAAAATAGAAATTGCATTTTTTCGCGATTATTAAAATTAAACAAAATGTTGACGCAGGATTCTGTAGGGAAACATCGTAATACGATAAACAAGGCCGTCGATTACATCGTTCGTAACATGGAAGAATTAAACGATACGTATGCATTGAGTTTGTGCGCCTATGCCTTGAATTTGGCGAAGCATCCGTACGAGACGTCCGCATTTAATTTCCTGGAATCGATGGCTATGAAGAAACAGGGTATCAAATGGTGGAGCAAACCTATTCCGAAAGACGACAAAAATCCGCATTATTCTTTACCGCGTTCCGTTGATGTCGAAATGACATCTTACGCTTTACTTTCATACCTCAGACGTAATCTGGTCGCTGATGCTATTCCCGTCATGAAATGGCTCGTCAAACAAAGAAACACAGAAGGCGGTTTTGCTTCGACACAAGTAAACATAATTATTCAAAGTGCATGAGCGCAAAATGTTATCTCTAATATATGTGTTAAGACTAAACTAAAATTCGTTCGAAATTATCCGTGAAATAATTTAATATAATAATAAATAATAATAGGACACCGTAATCGGACTTCAAGCATTAGCGAAGCTCGCTGAGAAGTTATCAAAGGACACGAGCTCGGTTCGAATCGCATTTAAATATGGAAGAGATGGTCAAGGTTACATGAACATAAATAGCGGCAATTCTATGATACTCCAGAAACAAATAGTAAGTTGAAATAAATTATGTCTATTTCGCATTACTACGATAACGAATAGATTATAATAGTTTGCGTCTTTTACAGCTACCCTCGAAAACGCGATTCGTCAATATAACAGCATCCGGTAAAGGCTTCGTGCTGGTGCAAGTCTCTTATCAATATAATTTGAATGTAACTGGAGCATGGCCATTATTTACGTTGGATCCCCAAGTGGACAAAAATTCGAACCCCAATCATTTGCAACTTTCTATATGCTCGGGGTATGTCTGCTTATTATCTCATAAATTTATCAATTTTATCGTTGATGAAAAAGAAAGATGCCAGCGTATTCTTGATATATCAATTTTCATATGAAAGAATTATTTCTAAATTTATTTTTAATTCTCAATTGAAAGATATACACAACGAAAAGTATAATTAAATTTAGTTTAATCGAAAAATAACAAAATTAAAATTAAAAATATTTATTTCCGTTATTTTCTTCTCTTACACGGTTTTATTGTTCGAAATTTATTATCAAATCCTTTATCGTCAGATTTGTTCCAACCAAAGAAGCAAACGAGAGTAATATGGCCGTTATGGAAGTAAGTCTACCTTCGGGCTTCACCGTTGATAGAGATTCTCTACCGAGTCTAGAAATATCATCGCATGTAAAACGTGTGGAAACTAGAAATGGTGATACAATGGTGGTTTTATATTTCGACAAGGTAGAATCTATTAACTTTAACTTATCAAAAATAACTATGTCCATAAATTATTTCAATGATTTGTACAAAAATACAATACTAATATATTTGAAAAACCTGAAAAAACAATAATTTCCTTTATCACAGATGATCAAGGAAGAATATTGTCCTACTGTGTCCGCGTTTAGAACGCATAAAGTAGCTAAGCAGAAACCAGTTCCCGTTTCTATATATGATTACTATGATTCATGTAAGTATATTATTTCAACTAATTTGATTTTTAAAAAATGTTTGAGAGATATTCTCTATTTCTAAGACGAAAATAATATATATATACATATATATATATATATATATATATATATATATATATATATATTTTTTTTTTTCTTTTTCTTATTTATATGTATATATGTATATGTATGTGTGTGTGTGTGTGTGTGCGTGCGTGTGCGTGTATGTATATATACACTCACACACACATATACATACATACATATAAATAAGAAAAAAATATTATAAGAAATATATTTTTATTTTTATCTATACAGCGAGAAGAGCAAGAGTGTTTTATGAGGCTAGGAAAACAACTTTGTGTGATCTATGCGAGGATGAAGATTGTGAAGATATATGTGTCTCGAAACCTGGCAAACAAAAGGATAATGCTACAGTATCCGCTGCGTCTCGTATTTATACTTGTGTATATTTACAACTCACATTCTTCTCGTTTTACTTATTGCTTCATAAGTACTTGTAATTATGTTGTTATCAAGAATAATTATTTTATTACATATCTTAAATCTCTTTAACAAAATAACGAGGAGCTATATAAGTTGCGACCAAAGTACTTGTTATACAGAATATAAATTATTATAATCCATTTTTTATGGAATATCTAAATCAAATTAACGTAAGATTTAATTATTTAGTAATATTATGTTTATAACAAAAACTAATAATGTTTCTTGTTGTTAGGGAAAAATTATTTTTCACATCATGGATTCTCCTTTAAATATAGCGTTGTTTATATAAAATGTTTACATTTTCGATTTTTATTATGATACTCTATGACGGATATATATAGTTATTAATTCTAGCGAACATAGCTATTAATTGCTGCTGTGAAAAATAATTATTACCCATGATATTCTTTTTATGGTAACGTTTTATGTAAAAAAAAACATACAAAAAGAAGAGGGAAAATAATAGAGGAAATCTTGAAAAGGAGGTGATAGGAATTTGTAGCACACGATTATTAATGAAATATATTAATTTCATACTTTATCCCATGTGATTTTCAAAACGATTTATATTCGACGATTTACAGTAAATATTGAAAATAAAATTATTAATAATTATTATAATTCGGTAATTCATAACATCTCTAATTTTAGAACGAAAATATAATACTGTTTCGCTACGCATGCAGAAGATCGTCGTCGCTGTCCGTTTGATACTGCGTAGGATCGGAAGCGCCGAACAAAAGCTTAGCCTCCTCAGTCGTATTGACCTGTGATGATAAAAATGCAAAATTTATGCGGCAACTCATAAAAAGTTCATGAAAAGACAGAAGAAAAACAAACGTACTTTACAATATTGGACACGACCCTCGTTTCTTCTAAAACTAAACACATTTACCCACGAGCGAAAGCACGCTCTTTTCTCCGGATTTCGAAAATAAATTAAAGCGGCTAGTACTGCAATCACAGTTAACACTATGCCAGCTATCGCTCCAGCTGTAAGAAAAAATATTGTAAAATCATTGCAACCAGATAGATTGAGACAAATGAAAAAATTCTTTCTCTAGATAAAACAAAATAATTTCATTTAATGAAAATGTTTTTCAATGGTTTTTTTCACCATAAAAACAAACTCGGCAAACGTCCTTTAAAAATTAAATAAAAAGAATAATTGACTCTGCTTTCCTTATGTCTGCTGTATTTACCGTATGGCTCTCAATTATTCAGAATCTTATCATTTGCCTCAATCTGTCTTAGCAAATTCGGCGGCATTGTAATCTGATATCATCAAAATGTATTACCATGTTTACCGTGACTAGAAGAAACTAAGAGAATTTCGGAGGATGGTACTTTTTCTCGCTCCGGATCCTGAGAATTTGCATGTTTCGCGCAAATTACTTCGGTGTGCCATTCAAATTCCGCACTACACTGCGATTCCTATAAGTCACAAAAAAAAATAAAAATAAAAATGACATCAAGGTACAAATTAAAAACATGAATAATCCATATGTATAAATTTTATTCGGTTATACAGCTGACAACTGTCCGTAGATTATCACGTAATTACCGATGATAGATTATAAGCTTTGACAATATTATTTCAATCCATCTCTGTCGTGAAAAAATGTATGTTTTACGTCTCAATCGATAATTCAATTGTGAAAGTTGCAGAGTGAATAAAAGCAAAATACTCAAATATTTCTTGAATTTGAAGAACTGTGTAAAGAATTAACATTATATGTTTCACATTTATGTATACATACACAATATAATATTTTTAACATTCGAATATCTAATGTAAATAAAATAAAATAATTTTACATCTCTTGAGGATTTCTCTTCTTATTTAATTTTTAATTCTATTTAAATTTTTTAATTGAAAATCAATTCGAATTAATATTATGAAACATATATAGTTAATCTCATTTTGACACCAGTTGCAATAAGTAAGAAATAAAAATATATGAATTTGATAGAAAAGATAGATGTAGAATATTAAAAATTTTGAACAGATAATATCCACATTATCAGTCTCCAGGAAATATAAAAATTGTTAGTGATTTCTTTCTGCATTTTATGTAGAAAGACGGAGAAAAAGTTCGAATATTTTAGCTAGAATATTTTATAAAGAATCTCTTCTTTCATTGATAATATATGTATATAAGAGATTTTGATGATAGGAGCGATATTAAAAATATCCTGAAATATTTTTCCTCTTTCATCATTACTATTTTTATCAAGTTTGCATATTTAATATCATCAAGATATAATCTCTCGAATATTTTATATTCTCCTTCAACAGATAAAATCGAATATAAGAGAATCAAGTTTATTAAAAGCAGAAAAACATCAAACATGACAAGTAACATGAAATATTTAATAAAAAAAATTCTTGTTATGCAAAGATTATAATTTTATGTTTAGTTAAATTTTGATATAATTTTATTCTTCGACAATTTTATGCTTCAACACACAGTGTATGAAACATCGTGTACGGAAAAAAAGAAAAAGAAAAGAAAGAGAGAAGATCCCTTTTTCTTTAATTTTCAATAATAAGCAATGTTGATAAACAGAAAAAAAAGGAACGCGAATGAATGAGCGGGAGATTCCGGAGAATGACAGAGAAAAAAGGCAAACAGAGTGGGGAGAGAGAGTGGGGAAGTTGGAAGAGGGGAGGTCACGCGTCACGATCGCTCATATTCAGTCAGTGAGTCAGTCTGTGTTGGACTGTGCGGTTGTTGTGTGATTGATCTGACAAAAGTGCGTATGTTTTCGATATCGTTGTTAATAATTAATCACCGCTGTCTTCTGATAAGAGAAATCAAGGTGAACAACCCAATTGCAAGAGCCGCAAATGATTGTCCGCTAACGCATGTACCATATTGCAAATCGGTAAGTAAAACGGCGTACAGACGTCATTTCCACGAACCGGTTCAGGTACCGCCTCGCGAGTGATCGTATCGTCTACAGGATCGGATTTAGCTTGGAAAAAGAAATCGTTGTTACGCGCGAATATATTTAATAGCGATCGCATTTAGAAAAAAATAAATAGTTGACTTCTTGTTGATCAATTTTGACTTCTATCAAGCAATAAATCCATATTTCAAATCAATACATCCGTATCGTACATTCATCGTATTTTCCAAACTTGCTTCATCGTATCATTAATTTTTTTTCTTATCTTTTAAATTTCTCGCTGATTTACATATATATGACGTGAGAACGTGTTTTTCCTGTCTCGTCTCGCGTAGCGAGGAATTCTAAAATGCAAAAAATGTAATCCAAACTATTATTTGCGTGCAGGATGATAAAGCAAGTTTATTTTTATCAATATATATATGTGTGTGTGTGTGTGTGTGTGTGTGTGTGTGTGTGTGTGTGTGTGTGTGTGTACATGTATAAAATTGAAACAAAGATCTTAAAAACTTGGGGGGGGGCGGTAAAATTTCACTAGCTTACGAACACCTGTTATACGCGAGTAAATCAAGCCCTGTTGTGTGACGTAAACATGCCCGTTCACTGAAGATCGTCAAGGACGAAAAAATCATGTTTTGTTAATCGTCGTGATTGTATCGTAGTTGAGCGACCAGGATGTGCCATGTTTTTTTTCGTTTTTTTTTATTATCGAGATATTCGTTGATAATGAATAAATTCCGCGTTTCCCAAGCCTATGATTTAACAACGTAATTTACGCTGGTTATACACGGTTTAAGAAAAGTTCGAGTAATTTTACGGAACTTTTATACAGCAACCGATTTCTAGCAGTTATTTACATAATAGGAATATAATTGAGATTCGTCAAATAAACGGATGCGAAAAAGCGAGATAGAGAGAAGACATCGTATCAAAATCGAGATATAATTGCATCGCTTATGAACTTTGGATCGATGTGTGTATCGATTTTTCCATATCAATATTAATAAAAGTTAATTAGTGTGCAGATTTGAAATCACAGATAAAGCAAAATTATATAAGAGAAAATTAAAAGAAATGTAATGCAAAAAAATGTACGTATGGGTTTAGAGATGGCTACATATAACGCGGATGAAAGGAAGGGAAATATCAACATGCAAAGATCATGTGTTATCATTAATACGATATCATTTTTTATGCGGACATTGCAATAGGCTACGAGAACACAATAATATTTACAAGTTTGGAATAGTCTATTTTATTTAACGCGGAAAGAATTATTAAATAATTATTGTTTTTTTAATATAATTAAATTTGAGAAAATCATTGATTTGATTTTTTAAAAGAAATTAAGAGACTTCTTTCTATATAAAAAAAAGTGTATTGAAGTCGTGAATATTTTTTATTAATAAATATTTGTAACAAAACGAGGAATCTTTTGCTTCATACTTTAATTTCAACATCAACGAAGAATATAAAATGATAAAGATGTAAAAATGTAAAAATAAAGTAAAAATTACGATATAGACCAATAAGATCGATATAAGATCAATAAAACATATATTGTCTGTTTGAATAATATATGGCTTCTTCCGCATACTTTTGCAATTGTTGCGTATTAACATTTTTGATTATTATTCAGAAATGTAAATATTTCACAGAATTGAATAAATTAAAATAGTTAAAAATTAAATAAAAATTAAGTTACGCGCGTTCTATGAAAAATACAATCTTGCAAGAGGAACCATCAAAATTTAATAGATAAAATCTTGGAACATATCATTGGACATGTTTGCATTTAAATACATGTAGTTTAACAGGTGTTAATATCTCATCGATTATCATGTTATCAAAATATCAACGAATTAAATTTTTCTTCAATTACGATATAGCGTGTTCTCAGTCATATAATTATATATGTATTCACATAATGATAGATATGCGTGTCTATAATATAGTATAGGAAAATATGATAAATAACATAATATATAATGCATATAATGTAATGTATAATAAGAATAATATATTAATAATATAATATAATATAAGGAAAAAGGAACTGCGTTTGAAAGTATTTTCTAGAATAGTTTTTAAATGAGAGATCATAAAAATCAATCACTGATAACATATCATTTTCAGTGTGATAATCAGATAGTAATATAATATATTTATACATATACATAAATTTATCAAAATTGTTAATTTAATTATCTTCAGCTCAAAAACTTTAACATTCACGTTTGTTGAGCCATACTATGTCTTGACTGTGTTGTATAAAAATTGTTTCTCGATAAACCAAAATTATCTTGTATATTTACTTTTTGCTAATTTTATCTGTACTAGTATCTTTATAGAATATATAATAGATTTCTTCGTTTTAAAGCAAATTTTGAGATAAACTATTATTGAAGTTTTCAATTAATATATATATATATATATATATATATATATATATATGTGTATATAAATATATAGGTAAATATATAGATAAATATATAGGTATGTACATATATATGTACATACTAGTAAATACTTTAATATTTGCGAAATTTTTTAAATCTGAGAAATCAAATTCATTCATTTGCATTTAAATGAATATATAAAGATTTTGTAGTTAATTACATTTCACAAATCTAGTTTAAACAAAAAAACTTTTTAATTTTAATCCTTCGGAAATTACGAACATTTTGACAATGTAATTAAAAAAACTGAAGTTGTTTATTTTCAACAAAATTTCTTATTAAAATCAAGATTGAAAATTTTGAGATATATATATTGTTATGATAATTTCTTTAAGTGCCAAGCTTTAAAAATAAATTAATTATCGTAATAGCTTTCCATGTATGTATTAAAGTAGTTATCTGTTGACTATAATTCTATGAATATAACGTGAATGTTTGCACACATACATAAGTGTAGGTTTGCCCAATCAATATTATATAAGTTGCAATGTCCATGCTCTTTTTTTAACATCAACAAGGAATACAAATAAATGACGACCATATATGACTATGAATTAAACATAAATTATATATTACGGTAGTTCTAAAAAGTTCATAATGCTGATGTTTTTTCATCATCAACGAAGAACATAAGGAGAAACATAAAAGATGAATTGAAATGAATTTTAATACGAATTGAAAATAAATTATATTGTTCTAATAAATAGAGATTCGTGCCAAAGTTTTTTCCTATTTTTCAACCAAAGAAGAAATCCTGATTTAAATAAATTTCATAATTTTTGAAAGGAAGAAACTATATAAAAACAATATTTCTAGATAAAATAAAAATATCGAATTTTTAATGATTTAAAAAATTTTTTAAATTTTAAAAATTATTTTTGCAACAATACAATTTCCTGTAATAAATTTCTTATAGCGATGTAATAACTATTATATTAAATTTGGAATCTTATTGTGTAATTATCGAATATAAATATCAAATATCGTTTATATCAAAATGTTATAAAGTCGTAAAGAATATCAAGATCTCCTTTTTGTCAAGTGATGCATATAGGAAAAAAGAGTACACGTATGTCATAAAAAAACAAATTGATATGCTGAATTATAATACTGAGAATCATGAGCTAGCCTTTTGTCATAATAGTTTCCGCGCGTTTGCAATTATGTATCACGTAATTCATCAAAGAATATAAAGATAATCAATATAAAGATTAAAACAGCTTTTAGTTATAAACGACCAAAATTTTTCTCGTTAAGAAAGATTTTCTTTTACAATCAGAAATATAAAAAGATATATATCTATATGTATCTATAAAAATTCATACTTTATTTATGAGGTTTAGGTTATACGATATTGTATGTGATATATAAGAATGTATAACAGAGTTGGTAATAAGCTTATCTCGAAAAGAGGAAGTGTAATACATTTATCTAAGCCACGATACTTCCGATTTTCGTGTTATTGCTGTTAACATTTGTGATTTGGAAATACGTGAGAAATGAAAGCACATTACATACAATGTGATAACGTAATAAAAATATATTCTTTTTTGCTTGTTTAAACAGGTATCAGACTAACGGAAAGAATTATAATACATCTTGAAAATGATTACCCGTCGTGAGACATATTTCGTGATTTTGATTATCACTATAAGCAGTTTCTCTGCCTTTCTTTGTCCAAGAAATAGAGGATGCGAGTGCGTGAATTTTGGGGATGCTTTCGAGATAAGTTGTTTTGTGGAAAACGACTCGTCTTTCATTGTAAATATTCAACCGAATCAATATGTAAAGGTACATGTCTATTTAATCTTAAGAACACACAATTTTAAAAGAACAATATATAAATTCGAGTATATAACATGAATTTATTTTCAACCAAAAATAATATAAAATAATATAAAGCAGGTAATCTACTTTTTAATACATCACAGTTCTTTTTCGATAAAATTAATGAAATAATTTTTTTTCAAAAACACATTTATATTTTTAGAGCTTATTTAGATAATTAAAAGATTAACAGGCTTTAAGATATTTCATATCAATTATGAGATACTGACTTGTAATCAGAGAATTCAATCTGCATACATATAGGTATAAAGTTAGACATTTGTAATCTAATTGTAAAATAAAATGTTTTCAAAGAGTTTATCCTATTTTATTTATTTTATATTATTTTATTTACGCACATGCTTTTTCTTTTGAAATTTTCCACATTATATTTATACTGTTCAGAAAGTTTTGAAATCTATATATTAAATATGTGTTCTTTGTTTAGTTATTATAAATAAATATATATCATAAATTAAGTTTTTATAATAGCGTGTTTTCTTTACATAGATTGAATGTATCAACTCGCCAAATTGGACACATTTCCATTTGCATGTGGCATCCTTAATGAAAAATGAAATCAATTCAATGATTTTTTTCATGTGCGATTTACCGAGCAACAGGAGTTTGGGTGGAATCACACAAATGTTAGCCACGGGTGTTGAAAAATTGAGCTTCCAATCGTACAAGAACTTGAGCTTTGCTCTGAAAAAGCAACATCTGGTTGGCTTGGAAAGTCTAAAGACTTTGATTTTATCGAGCAACAATATATCCTATATAGATGAGGATCTGTTAACCAATTTGACCAATTTGACGGGACTCAATTTACGTGACAACAATTTACGCTTAATCAATGGAATTTTCAACCATACTCCGCAACTGCAGTGGCTCGAATTAGCCGATAACAATTTGCAATCGATAGAATTAGGTACATTTGGAAATCTGAAAAATTTAACATTGCTCAATTTATGGAAAAATCATTTAACGGAGCTACAATTGGGAATTTTCGATGAACTCGTCGCTCTCCAAAGTCTCGATGTTAATAGAAATAATATCATCAATTTACCAAAAAATATATTTGCGAAGCTGAAGAACCTCAAGATTCTCAATTTATCTCTAAACAACTTCACAGATTTACCGAGGAATCTGCTACGAAATAACACGAAACTAGAAACCTTCACTTTGACTGAAAACAAAAGAAATATGACCTTGCCAGAAGAATTTTTCGCCAATTTAACAGAACTGAAAGTGTTGAATTTGAAAAAAAATGGACTTATTACACTGTCGAAAGATATTTTCTGGGGATGTTCTTCGCTAACCAATATTACTTTAAGTCTAAATTATTTGAGATTCTTACCCGTGCAAATATTCCGAGACTTGAAAGAATTGAAAGAATTGATATTGACTTTCAATGATCTCGAAGAATTGCCTGATAATATTTTTTTGAATACCAATCGATTAAGAAAATTAAATTTATCAAAAAATCGTATCACTTTCATTTCTCAGTACGTTTATATTACTATTACTATATAATTGTTATTAAGTAATTGTTTTTATATTTTCCATGTTTTTATTAACGAATTTAAAATTCTTTTTAACATTGCAGGCATACATTCGACGGATTATATGCATTGGAAGAATTAAATATAGAAGAAAATCAATTAATGTCTATTTCCGGCCAAAGTTTTACATCTTTAAAACAATTAAAAATTGCTAAATTTTCCAAGAACCGTCTTACGTTACAATCTACTTTTCTTGAGTATCAGGATGAATATGGAACTAAGTCACCTTTTCATCAATGCATTGAATTAAAGGAATTATATTTAGCCAATAATAGCATTTCGGAAATATTCAGTGACTGGAAGTTGAGTAATTTGCAACTTCGAAAATTGGATCTCAGATATAATAATATATCCTCCATAACTGTAAGTATTTGAGAAAGCACATACATATTATTCTGAAAGCGATAAAAATGCGATGAATAAATAAAATGTTTCTTTTTTAATTGTAGAGCGAAGATTTGCAATTTTTATCGACCGATATTAAAGTGGATTTAACTTATAATAAAATACAGCACATCTTCTTGCATAATGCCGAATATATCGCGCAACCTCAGCAGGATTTTCATGATAATATTAATGGGGCGATAATATTAGTGGGGAACAATCCATTAAGTTGTGATTGCGAGTTGTATGACTTTTTACGATATATTGAAGGCAGAATGCATTCCAACGTTCAACATTATTTCCACATAATACCAGAAAATTTAACTTGTCAAAGCCCAGAGGATTTGAAGGGTGTGCCCGTTAAAAATTTGAAATCAAAATCATTAATGTGTACGGTGAATAATACAAATCCCTATACTAATTGCCCCGAAATATGCGATTGTTTCGTGAAACCAGAAGGCAACGTATTTATATTCGACTGCTCTCACAAAAATTTGATTAGTGTTCCGAGCGATATAAAAAGTCCTGACGGCGATGTTTGGCAACTCGAATTGAATTTCGCCAATAATCGGTTTACACGAATGCCGGATTTGAAAAATTTAAAACGCGAATCGGTGAAGAAACTATTATTATCTCACAACAACATCTCTGATATCTTTTTAGACGATCTGCCCAAAAAAGTACAAGTGAGTAAATTTCTACATTTTATCTAAAAAATCATCTAAAAAGAAAAATATCGAAAAATTTAAATAATATTCGTAAAACAATATATAAAAAAATATTTTGTTAATGAGAGAAATCGATCGTAGAAATCAATCTTGACGTTTTTCCGGATTATCGTGTATATATAAAATAATAAAAAATATTATATTGCGCTTAAGATTAAGATTTAAGATTGAAATTTCTGTTTTCAGGTCTTAGAACTACATAATAATAACTTATCAACATTAAATCCTGATGTGTTAGAGTTTTTGAGAAACTCTACGAATTTACGTAACTTAACGTTAGACGAAAATCCATGGATATGCGATTGCAACACTAAGAACTTTCTAAATTTCATTCAAACAAAACTCATAACTATGCCCAATCTATTTAAAGTAACATGTCCCGGGAAGAACAAGGCTATATCGGAGATGACTACAGCTGAATTTTGTCCGTTTGATAACACAGCGATTATCAGTGTCAGCATAGCGATCGCTTTAATGGGATTGTTTATTGGCATTACGGGACTATTCTATTACAAATATCAACAACAGATCAAAGTGTGGCTATTCGCGCATCAATGGTGCTTGTGGTTTGTAACGGAAGAGGAATTAGATAAGGAAAAATTATATGATGCCTTTGTAAGCTATTCGCACAAGGATCAAGATTTTGTGGTGAATGAACTAGTGTCAAAATTGGAAAACGGCCCGACGCCGTTTAAACTGTGTATTCATTATCGGGATTGGTTGGCGGGCGAATGGATACCGGCAAATATTGCTAGATCTGTGGAAGATTCTAAACGAACGATAGTAGTATTGTCGCCGAATTTCCTCGAGAGTGTCTGGGGAAGAATGGAGTTTCGAGCCGCTCACAGTCAGGCATTGAGTGAAGGTCGAGCGCGAGTAATATTGATCTTGTACGGTGATATCGGTCCTATAGATAACTTAGACTCAGAATTGAAGGCATATATAAGTATGAATACTTATGTCAAATGGGGAGATCCTTGGTTTTGGGACAAATTGAAATACGCATTACCGCATCGAGCCAAATTATCTAAGAAAACTAGCACGATCGGAAGAAAAATCTTTGAGAATCATCAATTGTGTATTTCAAATGGAGATAAAAAAGAGCTAATGTATCCGATTGGAATTCCCGAGACACCTCCAAACACTACACCACCTGCCGATACGTTTAAAACATTTGTATGTGACAAGAAGCTGGAGGAACAGTTACCTTCAAACGAATTTCCGCAAGAATCGTGTAAATTAAATGGAACGATCATTCTTACAGCAGAACATTTAATCAAACATGGTCCTACGATTGATAATACAGAGTGTGTTGTTTGACAACACAAAGATAAATTATAAGAAATAATGATGAGCGATTTATATTTCTATCTGTGATAGATGCAGTGTTGATGCTCCCAGATTGTTTTAAGAATTTCTTTTTTTTTCGTAAAGAAAACAATCTTAATTTAGAATCTTCAGATAAAATGATTAAGAATACAAAGAATCGATACGTATTTGTTACAAGAACAAGAGAAAAGGAGAAAAAATATGAAAAATATAACAAGCAACTGACTGATGTTAAAATAAACCTATATGTATAAATATCAACATAATATGTAAAACCTATTTTTTATCAATTTCTGAGAAATTAATCTTCAAGAACAACAAAAAGCTAATACTTAAGTAATATATATAAAATATTATATATATTGAAAATTTATATTAATTATATTATTTTGCCAGTTTTTAAGTACCATTCAAGAAATGTGTACTTGAATTTAAACTTTTGTGCGTGCTATATAAGGTTTCAAATCAAGATTATAAATTGTTATAAATTAACTTTTATAACACGATATATTATAATTATTATATCATTATATAATGTTTATTCTTTTTATAGATGTTATTTTTAATATACTATATTCTCTATTATGCAATATATGTATATTATAAGGTTTCAATATATCTTTTAAAAATAGTTTGTATGAGAAAATACTCAGTATATTATTTGACGTGTTATGATGCATCTTATTTAGGTATCAATATACACTTATCTATAGTGCAATATTAATGGACACGATTTATATGTATAATTTTTTATATAATAGTTTATTATATGTTATATGTAAGATGTTCCGTATCTCCATTATTGTATCAATCCTTAGCAGATTATTTGAATTGTTAAATTGTTAAATGCTGATGCAGTAATGATAGAACAATCTATCATAATTTAAGTTACTATGACAGTACCTGATAAACAAAAGAACAATTAATTGTTCTTTGCGAAATACTACTTTCCATTTTAAATATGCATTATTTTCCATGTTATGCATTAATGCTGTGCATTAATAGGAATATTTATATAATACAAAATTCTCTGCTTTTTCTAAATACCCTCTCATATATATTTATTCTTGCAATTTGATATACATTGTATATATTGGTTCTTATTAAATATATCAAATCATCAAATAAAATATTTCTCATTATTTTTACAAACTTTAAAGTAGTTTAGAGGTTTGTACAATATTAGCATAAAGAAATGCAAAACTCCAAATTATAATACTATTTAAATGTTATATAGACTTTATTATAATTTTTTGTTATTTTTTTATTATATATGTTGAATATCTTATATTATATTATATTATATTATACACACACACACACACACACACACATACATAATATGCTTTTAAAAAGATTCTTTATCTGAAAACATCCAGAATATATATGACGAATATACGTGTTTATAATATATGTATGTATGTATATCGTATATATATGTAGATTTGTAATTTAAGAATTGTAAATATATTAGATTTTAAAGATTGGATAAACCTATAGTGTGAGAAATCATATAATGAATATTCTCACTAAAAGATTAATTGAATTTGGATTGTCTGGAAAAAAATTTTGATGCTATATGTGCATAGCCATTAGCGTGAAAAAAATTTTGCAAATATTAAAAAAAAATAAAATATAATAATTTTATCTCTCATGCGATTAGTAAATTAATAAAACTTTAAAAAATTTTAATAGAAGAGTATAATGAATATAATGAATGATGTATATAATGAAAATGTAATTTCACTATAGAATAAATGCTATCAAAGAAATTTAATCAACGTTTTCTCACTGATTGCTGCATAAATCAATTTGTTAGAAATCTATTTAGGAATTCAGAAGGGATATCAAAACTCATTATATTGAAACAAATAATAGAATCTAAGATCAAATAAATGAGAAAATACTTTCGAATACATTCATCAGAATGAAATTTTCAATAAAAAGAAATCTATTTTTTTCTTTAAAGTGTATCTTATAGTGTTATTTCTGAAAAATTTCTCGTTTATTTTTGCCGGGAAATATTACTGAGTAAAAATTCTGAATAAATTCACTTACCAGCAGCAGTTTTGGTGCACCGATGCCTATAGAATCATTACATAAAAATCTTACTTCGGATGTGTAGGAATCTGTTAAAATATAAAATAGAATTTATATATATTTGTAAAATAAATTATGAAATAAATTAATGAAAAATAATCAACAACTTACTATTATTACATTTACTGCCATTTGAATATTTAAGCTTCACGTCATCTCGGCTATAATCGAAAATCACACTTTTCAGCGATCCATAACCATTACTTTCGTGACATACAGCAGAGCCATTACAATATTTTTCTCCACCACAAATATTTATACTGTACTCTTTGCCTTGTTTACCTTTTACCTATAAAAATTTAGGAGATAAAATATTGAAATATATATTTTAAATAATTGAATATATATAATATATAGACAGTTATAAAGTTGCTTTTATATCAGTGAAAAAGAATTTAAGAATATTCTGAACTTGTACATATGCTATTATTTACATAAATAACATATTCAAAACATCTTAAAACTTTTCTTTATAGAATATATTTACTCACATAGTGTATCTGATCTTTTTTATGTAAGAAAGAAAGATCATATTCGTACGAAAGAAAACTATCCTTTATAATACAAGGTGGCGTCCAGACGCCTATCACAGCTCCACATGCTATACTGGTATGCCATTCAAACACATACGTACAATTAACATAAGTCTTATATACTGGAAGTCCCTAAAAATACAAAAGCTTGAGCAAAGTATTGCTTATAAAAATATCACTTTTATAAATAGAAATATATTTTTAATCATTTAAATGTATCAATTGTTTTCAAATTATAAAGAAACCAATAAGAAGCAAATTTTGAAGGAATAATTAATATAAAATCTCATTTCCCTTTAAAATGAATTTTACATAACTTGAGAATTTGAATTGAGTTATAAAGATATTAACTTTTTATAATGATAAAAATTGATTAAAAAAAAATTTCTCATTAAAATAAATTAATAAGATTAAAGAAATTTATATATTGTTACCTGATTATTATTATCACAAACAAATGTAAAATTTGAAGATATTGATGTAACTGGATCTTCTGGACACTGTGATCCACCAATATAACGTAATACTGTTTGTAGATCTTTATTTAATGTGGGGCTGTTCTCAGGAAATCCCAAATTCTATTAAATTGTTATGTTAATAAATATTATAAAAATTTTTAAATTTTATATTTTAATTGCAATACTCTCTCTCTCTCTCTCTCTCTCTCTCTCTCTCTCTCTCTCTCTCTCTCTGATATATCATAAATATATCATATTTATTATACTCACAATTTCATTAGTATATTCATTCTTCGAAGTTACCGAAACTTTACAAGCAGCACTACCATATGGACATGTAGGACTTTGTTGAGTGGGGACTAGCGGTCGGCATATGTTTATGTGGAACTCAGTACCGTTAGCTTTTACAATGTAATTACTTGTAGATCGTATAAGAGGAGTTAAGTTAATCTCGTTGTCATTATTAGTTGTGCATTTAATCTAAGTGAAAAAAAATTCACTATTTATAACAAGAAAAAAATAAAAAATTATTGTACAATATGCATAGAAGCACATATATGCTTACTTTTTTCTCGCAAGCTAGATCTGTGTTCCAGTGTATAATGGTTTGACAAGAATTCTGTTCCATAAGAATTGGCTGATTGGATGATCCTTCTGGTCTGCAGACAAATTTAATAATTGTATAATGGTACATTCCATTTTCGCATGAACTACCATTGAAATATTTTAAATAAAGACCATCCTGCTGCCATATCAATTTTATATCAGCTTGACCCAATGATATATTGTATTTTGAATTACATATTGCTATATAAGAATAATTGATGAAAAAAATTTAATTTTTGTTCTACAATTATAATATATGCAATTAGTAAGAAATATGTTGTATGTACCTGTCCCCGCTACGCATGTACTATCTGTAAGCCCTTCACATACTCTTAATTTTATATTGCTTGCATTTACAACAGTAAAATCTTTATTCATCAATGGCTGCAAATTATATCTGTACATACATGATAAAATATATAGTAAAATTATATGAATGTATCATATATTTACGAGTATTAATCACGCATCAAGGAATCAAATTCTTACGTAAAATTCGTGATTGGATTTGTAACAGAGCATATGCCTGCTGTTTTGACACTGTAGTTACGTAGAGACTCAATACTGCATGCTGCAGCAGTATACCATACTAATTGATAATGACACTCATTTTTTCCTCCAACATATTCTGGAATAGTCTCCTGTGTAATAATATTTCAATATTTTCAAATGCATTCCATTAACATGTGTACTATATATTTTGTGTGTATGTATATAATGTATATAATATATATATATATATATATATATATATATATATATAATCTAATGTTATACCGTGGCTTCCAAAAGACATATAAATCTGATGGTTGTTTTAACATGCGGAGCCTTAATATTTTCGTAACATAGCATACCATTTTGATATTCTATTTGTAAATCTCCATTCTTGAAGGAAGGAGATTCTGTTACTTCTCCTAAATTCAAATATCTGAAACAATACAGACTAGAAATACAATCTACTTTTTTATTGAGGCAAAAAAAAATTCATTACATTGTACTGTTACATCAAAAAAATTATACATTTGTGTTTAACACAATATTGTGTTTAACGAATATTACACAGAGTATTCTATAATAATTGTATTATTTCTCAAGTGCACGTTATACTGAAAAGTAATAAAATTAAATAGAATATATAATAGAAAAGTTCTCTATCGTTTTGTATTTATTAATGAAAAACTAATTAAAAATCACGTAATTCACGAAATATAAACGCGCGGCGGAAAGACAGCCTACTATTACGCGGTTACTAAGGACAATACATAATAAAATGCTTGATTATTAGTCCAATGTCGCGTGCTCATTAACCATTAAACTATCTTTTAATAATATTAAACTATAGTAAACTTTAGTAATATTAAACTATCTTTTCTCGCCGCGTGCTTATATTCGCGCGAATTTTTTTAAATTAATTTTCTATTAATTATTGCGAAAATCGCGCAAAACGGCAGAGAATTTTTCTTGTTTTAATGATCTATATACAACAAGAAGTAATGCGAATATTATCAGACCCTATATATTTATATCTGCATACATATTTAAATCTTAATGAAAGATCTATTTGCGAATCAATCTACCTATTCTGTTTTTCAGGATCATCCAAACAAGCACCTGACTTAATTGGACACATAGCACCATATTGACGTATTATAGAATGACAGACATTTAATACTATTTTGGACTTCGTCCTTTGGATCTCGTCCCTTATAGGAATGACATAATTGTCTGAAAACGTTGTTAAAGGACTTAAGTCGTAATGAGAATCATTATTAACAACTGTACAATTTGTTTGTGATCTTGGTCCACAAGCTAACACTGTCTTCCATCGCATAAATAAGTTACATTGTTTATCTGCCTAGAAATATTTTTATTGTCATATATTTATTTTTTATATATCATAGCCATTATATAACATATTGAAAGGAGAATTATTATAAAGATATTATAAATATTAAAAGGAGAATTATTATAAAGATATTATAAAGATAGTTATAAAGATCTCTAATGGCTCTCTGTCTCTAACATTCTAGTTTATAAAAATAAAAATCCCAATAGAAATAGCAATTATCTCTTAAATATTAATTATTAACTATCTTAATTATCTCTTAATTATTTATCTCGTCTCAATCATTGGATAGAATCCAATTGGATCCCCACTTATATGCTTTCCAGTATGTTATATAATTTAATAGTTGCAGGACTTGTGCTATTAAATATAGAAAAAAATTAACTACTTACATGTGGAAATAACTCAGGATATGAATTACTTTCTGCACTATAATCACATAGCATAATAATTTGCACTGTATAATTGGTATTGAGTGCACAGTTGTCACCAGTAAAATTAAATAACATTTTTCCATCTTTATTACCAACTTCCGGAGGATATTTTCCTGTTTATATAAATAAAATCAGTTTAAACTCATAATATAATACGATAGATATTAATTCTTAGCAAAATTACCTATTCCCTTTTCTGTGTTATTCTTTATTAGACATATTGCATATCCATCTTGATTATTGCATTTTTTTATCAATGGAGAACATAATTGCATACGTATCGTTTCATTTGGATAATCGTGTTTGATAATAATATCCTCTTTATTTGATGACAATTTTGTTAAGTTATATACAAAACTTAACTTATGTTCAGATACTTCAGATACTTCGCAAAAAGAAGTCACAGTTAAAGCCTGTAAAGTACACAGTTCTTTATGTGACAATCAAATTGAGAATTTTATTGAAAAGATAGGGGAATAAAGAACAATACAATGCGATTTTTCAAATTAAACAAATATAAATACCAAAATTGGATAGTTTAATCACATGAACATTAATGATAAGTATATATATACATATATATATATAAATTTATTTTTATTAAAATGCATGAAAATAAACGAGGAAAAAATATTCATAAAGGATTTAAACGATTAAATACTACATACTGAAGTGATAACAGCCCATAAAGAGTAAAGAAAGAGTAATCCGTTGAATTTTGACATTGTTTACAGAATCAGGTTCTTTCTACATTACATTATCGATGACTATTATAATGACTGGCAACATGCGACATAAAATGTAGAATAAAGACGAATGAAAATATCCATTAATAATTTCCGGCTTACACCTGTACTACTGGACTGCGCATTAATGGTGGGGGTATTGCCGAGTTAAGGAAAAAGGATAACAAATGAGTGATGTATATACTAAACTATACCTCGTTCGTACTAACTCTCATTATTCAGACAGTGCTGTATTCAAAAATAATGTATCCCACTAGAAAGAACCTAGCTTTTACAAAAGTGAAAAAAGTATATGTCAAGTACATAAAAAATTTATTACAACTTACACAACAATAATGTAAAAAAATATTAACAAAAAGATGTAAAACCGATACAATTAATACAATAAATTGTATATATTAATTTGTAATCGACACTTTAATAACGTATATGACATCATTTACTTATTAGCCATATGATTGGTCAATTTCGTTGACTTACGCATTTATGTACGATGAGCCTAATATTACATTTGTCGTACGACAAATTTTTTAAGCACATTGATTGGCTGCGGTATAATAATTTTTTGAATCTTTAGAAATTTTCTAAACGACAAATTTCTTTACAACAAATGTAATATTAGCCTTACGCAAGTTTACCTGTGTATATATAACTACTATATTCTCACTACTATAATCATCGAATCAATAATAATTTATATAAACACTAACGCAAGAAATAAATATCAAGTATTTATTCAAATTTGGACATTTAAAAAAAGTCTGAGTATAATACACACGACTTTTCTTTTTAAATAATGTAAAGAATTTAAAAAACCAGCATTAATAATGCATTATGTAACAAAAATATTTTGCAAAGTAAAAACTTAAAAAAAAAATAACAGCAGAAATTAAAAAAATAAAAAAAAGCAAAAAAATTTGATAGAGTCTATCAAACCGGTCACGTGGTCACCGCTTTGCACATCATATGCGTGTGTACTGTGTGTAAAAAGACGCGCATGCGTCCCACAAGTTGGGATCATTGCACCGAATTTGCTAGGAAACTTGGGCTTATTTGCGCATGGAGAATCATAGGGGTAACATCGATTATAGATTTAATCCACTTATTTTTGCACGTAAAAACTGCGTGCCCTCCGCTAAAGATCCATTAATATAATTTCATTATTTATTTTACGTTTGCGGGTTAGGTGATGTAAATAAATTATGGAAGCGTACGAGGCTCGAGTGCAAGAAAAATCGCAGGATGGAGGTAAAAATTTTAATAACTTACTCGTTTTATCAATTTTGCTTATACAGAACGCGCACAGCATGTGAAATTGTTTTTTTAGAATTCTATGTAATTATTACAAGAGTATAAAATTACTGCATTCTTTTTATACGTCTAACTTAAACGCTATTGTTTCTGGTAAAAGTAGATGTATATAGATGTAGATATGTATATAGACAACATGATAATTCTACGCGTTTTTAAACGAACTTTTAAGAAATTATATGCTCGTTATACATATTTGGGATACAAAATTTAACGTTGTGATAATTAGTAAGAAACGAGTAATGCATTAATTTCGTATAATCTTATTTTTCATATGTTTAGAGAAATACATTTCTATATATATATATATATATATATATATTACTCTCTCTTCTCTATTAATAATATAAAAGATGGCGTTTTGCGCGTCAGTAATATTGAATAAAAAAAGTTATTAATTCGGAAAATTAAATATTTTTATTTATGGCAATTTATAATTTTTAAGAATAATAATTTGATAACTTATCACAATAAATACATACTAAATATGTAAAATAAAATTTTTAATAAAAAAAATATTTAAATTATTTTTTTATTAAGTAGAATATAATAAAATTATTTTATTAAAAAATGTATAAAATTATTATTTTATTTTTCTTTTTATTATTCTTTTATTTTTATTAGCATTAAGTATTAACAAGTGACATGTATTAATATTTAGTATTAACAAGTGACATGTATTATTTTTTTATATTTATATTTTTTTCATATTTATTAAATATATATTTTTTATAATAAATTTTTTTTTAAATGAAAAATTTTGTTAAGATAAAATAAAAATTATAATTTGCTTTTTTTTAATATTTAGAATTATTTAAATAATTACTTATTTTACATTTTAGAATATGGATTTGTTTGGCAAGATTATCTTGATGCCACAAACAGTGTGGAAGTTCCACAAATTACGTTTCCTCATGTGGAGTTGACATTACAAAACAGTATTGAGATAGGGATGTCACTAGAGGTACCAGTACAGAAAAATAATGAGGAAGAATTAACATATTGGGTAGCTTCTATTGTCATGGCTTGTGGACCTTTATTACGATTGCGCTACTTTGGTGGTGATGATAGATCATTAGAATTTTGGTTTAATCTTACAAAAGAAGCTGGTCATGAACTTGGTTGGAGTGTGAAAAATAATAAAAAATTAGAACCACCTGATATTATACTTGAGAAATCACCAGATTGCAAAGACAAGCTGCGTGACTTTTTAACAACAGCACATACACTTCCACCAGAGATGTTATCAGGAGTAAGACATTAGATACATTTTTAGACAATTTTTTATGTTAAAATAATTAATAATTTAATATAATGCTCTCTTATTTTTTTTTGCACAGGATGGCTTAAGTATGACAGACAAGATAAAACAGGGTATGAAAATTGAAATAAGTGATATTTTGCATCCATATAAGTTATGGGTAGCTACGGTAAGAGCAATAATTATAAAACCCTCTAAAAAAAAGTATTTTACTATGAATCTATATTTAAAAAAATATAATATAAGAATAATTTGCATAATATAAATTTTTATAAAATAAGAAAAGCAAGAAAATCGTTATCTCTATGTTCTAATGTTTAAAAATATTTGATTTTTTTACAGATTATTGAAAATGTTGGAGGACGTCTTTTATTGAGATATGATACACCAGGTTCCTTTCGCGAAGACTTTTGGATATTTTGTACATCCGAACGTCTACATTCATATGGATTTACATCCAAATCAAATTCTACTTGGTTTTTAGAACCACCTGGTTCAATAGTCGACTTATATACTTACGAAGAATGGAAAGATTTATTGGAATCTAAACCAAAAGATTGTGAACTACTGGGAGAATTATTTAATAATAATGTAGATCATTCAAAACACAATTTTAAAGTTGGGATGAAAATAGAAGCCTTACATCCAATAGATCGAACAAAAATCTACCCTGCTACTGTAACGAAAGTATTTGATGATATATATTTTCTTGTAAATATTGATGTGCATATTGAACGCTCGGATAAATCAGATGATACATTTGTGACCAGTAATTCAGAGAACAATGCATGGTTATGTACTATGGAACATCCATACATATTTCCAGTTGGATGGGCGCAAAAACATAACATCAAGTAAATATCACATGAATAATATAAATATATCAATCTTTTTTATAATTTATTATATTATAATTCTACAATTATACAACTAGATAGTGTTCTATAATTATATAGAATTTTATAAAATTTATTTTTGAAAATATTCTATATAATTCTTCTTAATTTCTATAGAATTCTTTGATCTTAATATATTATGACTCCTCTTGATCTTGATTTGTTATAGAATTACTCATCCGCAAGGTTGGACTTCAAAGACTGAGGATTTTGATTGGAATGACTATCTGGAAACATTTCATGCTAGTCCAGCAGCTGAAGATTTATTTAGCGAACGTGCAAGTGCCGTTGAAGTGGGCTTTGAATGTGGGATGAGATTGGAGGCTGTCGATCCAGAACATGAACATATAATATGCGCCGCCCACATTACTAAAATCGTTGACAATCTGTTGTGGATAAAATTAGATAATTATGAATACTTCCGACCAGATCATATAGTTGACATGCATTCTTTGCAAATATTTCCTGTAGGATGGTGTGAATCTAATCACTATCCATTAAAACCTCCGCACGATTATATTGAAATTTGTAAGAAATTAGAAATGTTTATAAAGGAAGAGAAGAAAGCAAATCCTTTGGACATACCGATATCCGAACCACGATCTTCGCTCTGGTGTCCGAAAATATATTTTAATTACCGATGTTTCACGGGCCCGATGATTTCAAAGGGGAAATTGGCGACTCTTCCAAAATCAGTGGGACCTGGACCAGTTATATTAGTCATGCGAGAAGTTTTGTCAATGATAGTCTCTGTTGGATATAGAAGTGCTAGAATTTTGAAGGTACTGCAGTGTGATTCTAAACCAGATCCTGGATATCATTTGGAAGTTTTAAAGGCGAAGCACAAAAATAACACATATCGTGCGAGTGTGGCCATTGTTACATCAGGAGATATGGTAGCAGATTTTTGTAGAAGTATCTGTAAAAAATTAATGGTATGTCCAAATTTATTTGGCCCGTTATATATACCAGAAAATGAATGTCCAGATGAGTGTTACAAAACATCAAAAACAAAATATAGTAAGTAATAGTATCCTATAAAAAGTTATATACATTACATATATAAAATTGTATCATAATTATCAATTAATATGAATGTGCGTTTTTATTGATATCTTCATGTTTTTAGCAGCGTCGGTCGGAACTGGAAAGAGAGGAAAACCGAAAGGCTATACAAGTATTATGGTGCAAAAACCGAAACCTTGGGGTAGAAAACGTAGAAAACGTCGCGGCAGATGGGCAAACAAACATAAGGAGGCTCAAGAGGAATACGATCACGAAGACGAGATGCCGTTTATGTCGTTAGATCTGGCGAAACATGTCTCAGAGAGACATATTGACGAGGCATTTGACGGAAGACAACCACTGTCAGAAATAGATATCATGATACAGAAAGGTTTGGAGAAATCTGACAAGTCGGATGATTTTAAAACTGAAATACCTTCCAGCAATGCTTCGGAAGATTCTGGTAGTTCGTTCAATGATAGAAAAATAAAAGACAGAGAATTGCCTAGTCCTCCTAATTTAAATTCTAAACAACATATAACGAGATTTAATCAGAATTCTGGAGTCACTAGAGGAATTAAGAGAGATTGGGACACAAGCATAGAATCTGATTACTCTGAGGCAGATGCTGAATATGTGAAAATGCAAAAAACACAACGGCGACCGAAGACTCGGAAGCTCGATTCGAATCCGTTATATTGGAGTGTAGATGATGTATTTCGATATCTTAGAAAAACGAGCGATTGTAAAGACCTCGCATATCGCGTCAAAGAGGAAGTAAGTATATGTGTATTTTAATTCTAAAGTTTTATTCTCAGAAATTGTAAAGTTGTTTTAATTATTATACACAAATATTGATAATAATATATCTCTTTGTTAATCGTAGGAAATTGATGGTCTTGCATTTCTGCTGCTGAATCTTCCTTCTCTTACTCAGCATATGAAATTACGGACGAGTTTAGCCATGAAATTATGTCGACATGTTGAACAAGTTAAAGTTACGTTCCTTTTACGACATATTCACGAAGTAGAGCCTGATCAATATCAAGTTGTTTAATTGACTAACAATAACACCTGTAATTATCTTCTGTATAATAATTTTTTTTTATATTTTTTTTTCATTTATGTATTATATGTCATATGTAATAGCTAAGATGAAATATCAAGACGAATAATCGACAAATTTAAATAACATTTAAGACTTTTCAAATATAAATTAAAGAATATTTAATTTTTATTATCATGAATAATTAATTTTTATCACCATTTTATATTACTGAAAAACAAATAACTTTAGATCTTTGAAATCATTGAATTAGCAGAAGATAAAATTGCATAAGATAATTTATGAGATAAGATTGTTTATCAATTTATAAAAATTTATAAAAAATTAATATATAAATATATATTTATTCATATTTGTTTAATCCTATTATGAAACTAAATAAATGATATTTCGAAAAGTTCGAAAGAGAAAAAGTTTCTATGTTTTGCAAATCTTTCATTTTATACTTAAAAAAATATACATATAAATATTTTTTGCATTTTAGTTGCAATATTACAGAATTGAAATTTATCAATCATTGATAAATTTTTAGTAAAAACATATTTTTTTAAATCTTATATTCACACTACATCCATCATATATTACTACATCCATCATATATTACAATACTATACTATAATTATACTCTAATTGCATACTATATTTTATTTGGTGGTACTAGTGTTGCATTGATTGGAAATACTTAATATTTTCAATTAAATCTGAACATTTCATTTGTATACATATATTAATTATATTCCATCAAGTATTTCAAACTGAAAAACAAATCACAACGATAAAACAATATTTATTATTTAATTTTACGCCATATAACTTATGTGCAGTTATTGGCTGCTTAATTTGTTATGTGGTTAAAAGTATAATTAAAAATTGTTCTAACTTTATTGCATATTTCAAAACAGTAATTTTTTTAATGTGCAAATTAAAACACTTGATTAATTTCAGAGTTGGACTAAATTTCAAAAGTATGTTTATATATATTGTCTAAATGATATTTACATGACTTTTTTCATGTAAATATGTAATCTATTATAAATTAAATATCTAAAATGCAGAAAAAAACAGTAATTATTAAATAATAAAAAGAATAATATTAATATACATATATTTATATAATATAAAAATATATTTATTTTTTTATTACTATAAAATCCAATTTGTTAAACTTTTATTGATTTTTCATGGCATTTTGAGATATCAAAATTCCTATCTTATGTTGTAACCATTATAAACAAAACACCTTCGATAAGCCATATTTCATAAATTACTCATTATTGACATAGATAACATGTGAAACATAGTTTACATTATTTAAGTAGACATATTTTATAGTTTACGCATAGATACGCATAGATCCTAATTAATTTTTAGTAAAAATAATTGATAATATTAGCGCTATTGCTAATTAGCAAATTTTAACATTGATCGATCTTTACAATCTCTAATGATAAGAAACATCGATGTTGTCCATGAGTTATCCTTGGAGCTGAAAATAGTATAGTACTTCGTTTATCTATCGTTGATAGAATAGCGTATATATTCCATGTCTCTCTCCTGCACTATACACAACACACATACACATATACAAAACGTCACACGCATACAACGCGGTACCGTACGGCGAGTTACGCATCCGAGTCAGTGGTTTCCGCAGTTTTTCGATGATGGCTTAGTGGTGATGACGGCGTGCTGGACACTGTAACGCACCGCCCGAGATCGGTGAGTCCGCGATTGTTAATTAGCGATCACCGGCCTCAATTTCGTTGACGTTGGCGAGGCGAGATTGACGGAAAACGACAGGCGTGCGAACGAACGAGAAAGAGAGAGAAGGAGCAAGAGGGAGAGAAAAAGAGAGACGGGTAGGTGGAATACCGACAGCGTTGGGCGATCAATGCGATCTTGCGGGTGTGCCCGCTTTTTGCTTCCCCTGCCTTCCCGTTTTTCGCCGCAACGTTTTGTCGCGTATCGTCGAGAGAGACCATCCGGGATTCTCTCGGCGAGACGATGAGATTCTCTACGTCGTCGCGGGATTCATCGTGAAAATTGCCGTTTTCGACAAAGGGACGGAAGGACGGAACGCGTCTCGATTACATCCGCGACGAAGGACGGCGAGTGAGATCATCGAGCGAACGAAGCTCGTCATCGATACTCTAGTCGGCGACACGAATTTTCACGCGGAGGTTGACGAATTGTGCGAATTTCTTCGTATTTTCTCGATATTTTTCCCGATATTTTTCTCGTCTCTTTCCACGATACTTTGACAATCGATTTGTGCGTAACACATATGTGGGAACCGTATCGTTTATTGACTCGTTTCTTTTTTCCTCTTTGATTTTTGCGGCGCGGGTGCACGCCCATTTTTTAGCGCGTCTCCATTAGCAACCACCTTCTCGTAACACAGCCCGGCAAATTTGAAAATTTCAGATATAATTGGGTCAGCTTCGATTTTGCGGCAGTAACATGTGCCTAAGCGCACGCGCGCGTTATATATATTATATGTATATGTGTGTATGTGCAATTTTGTATTAACCGCAATAGCAAAAGAGGTATATGACCGTGGAGTGATGCGTAATTAATTAAAAAGAAATCCCATACTACATTGACGCTTTCATAGAGCGACGAGATTATTATAGCGAACATTATAGAGCGTGTGAGCGAAAATTTTATCGATTTTTCATTAGTAAAATTTGATCAAGAAAATATTACTATACAGTACATTTCTTCTTTTGATGATTTTTATTTATCTTTAATAGAAAAAAATGTTTGCTTTTTAGCTCTCCAAATACGTTGCAACCATGAAGCTCACTGTGTGCATTATTTCCATGTTGGTGCTGGGGGCATCAGCTATAAGTGAGTATTAATAAATTATTTTGTATTTACTCATTAAAGTTTTTTTTTTAATTATTGTTAATATATAATATGAACTTTATAATATTGTAATAAACTTTGCCATTAAAATTGTAATTTTTAATTTCTAATTATAGTACGTGTCCCGGATTATGTAGAAGGTGAAAGACACTGTTATAAAAAGATATAAATAATTGTGCTTTCCATTACACGAGATTAATTTTTATTTACACAAAACATTTTTGTGTAAAACAAATTTTTCTATATAGAGATGCTCTGTTTTTGTACACTCACATATCTAAGTGTATTTATCTATTAGAAAAATACACACTTTTTATCATATTTGTACATCCACACAATCATATTTATGTATAGATTGCTCTGATTGTCAAGATATATGAAAGATAGAATGATGCTGTATAACAATGTTTTAGAAATTTTTTCTTTGTGAATTTCATCATCACAATCATATTTCACATAAGATATAAATTCTTTCTATATATACACAACACATACAAACTATAGGATTTCTATCATCGACTTTTTATTTTTAATTAGTACCTGTATGTGTATATGTATTTTTGTACATATACTTTAAAAAACATGGATTTTTCTTTTTCCCATATCATATATCTGTGTATGATCTCTTATTTTCTTTTATCATAGTATACATATTAATTAATTACAATATCAATTTATGTTGTAAACTGTAGTTGCTCCTTACTAATTAAGCTAAAATTAAAAATTATTAGGACCATTTATCATAACAGTCATTCTTTTTTTGTATTAAATATAAATAATATAAATGTATTCTCTGTGTCTTATTGTTCTTTTTAGATATATTTGTATTATAATACATGTTATTATTTTTTTTTATTAATTTTTTTTTCAATGGCATGAATGTTCTAATACATTTTTCGATTGTTAGTTCAATCGCCGCCACGGATATCCAAACAGCCACCAACAGACGAACAGTTGTTTCAAGTGGCCCAGGCTAAAATCAACGAGAATGATAAACCATTTTTAATTGAATGCGAAGCGGAAGGAGAACCAGCTCCAACGTATGTATCTGTTTCTTTTCTCAAGGCTTATTTGTTGCACATATAGGAAATCAATCTCTTTATTATCTCTGTGTCACTAGTTTGAGGCTACTTTTCTCTGACACTATTACACATTATCTGTGATAAGGAAGTAGTTATTATGTAAATACATTCTGATCTTCTCGATATGTTGCTCAAGAACGGAAAATGTACTTTGGAGACATCTCTCACTTGTAAAGTTCCATTGCATTTACAGTAATCGAGCTTATTCATCTCGTGCAGTCGGTATAACCGGCCGATCTTAATTACAAAGATGATCTCATAGCTTTAGGATGTATGAAATAATCGTCACTAATACACAGATATCTGTCTTGTATGAACATAGAGATGTAGAGAGGCAGCGTTTCTTATGTATAGTTTTTTTAAATAAATTCGTGAAAACGAATAAATTTAAAGAACTTTAACGTTAAATATTTATCATTGTACGTTGTTGATTTTATGCACCTCGATATTTTATGCACACATATAAGTATATTCATTATTATGTAACATGCATTTATTCAAGTTTATCATATGCATAATATTACATATGTGGTTCTATGTATAAGATTTATATATATAAAAATAATAATACAGAGTAAGATTACTTATATGTTTTTTAAATATGATTAACATATATATTATAATAAATATATTAATATACAACTTAATATTATATTTATACCTACATAGGTATAAAATTATTATTTTTATATAGATATACTTACAGTACAAATAGTATACTTACACATACATAGGTAAAAATATAATAGGAAATATATAAGGGAAAAAAAAAAAATTTACGCATTACCATCCGCGTTTTTAGGCTCTTATCGCTCGTTTCATAATTATCATGTTGTTAAATACATAGAGCCGTATTCTTTATCAATTTATTTAAAACTACACGCCGAGCTAAAAAGATCGTGTTCTCATTATTTCCATAGAATAATAAAAACGGACAGGAGAAGTGTTGGTGTGGGGCTGAATAGCTCAGTGGTAGAGCAGTCGCTCGGCAAGCGAAAGATTCGGGTTCGATTCCCGATTCAGCGACTTCGCCCCGATATTTTTCCTGTCTACATCTCTTCAGGGGGGTAAAGAGGGTGTTATAGAAGTCTCAAACCAAGAGAATCTATAACTTGGCATATACACCAAGTAAAATATATGTATAAATGTCTTATGCACGTCTTAAAAAAATTTTTTCGCGAACAATTAATGTTTGAAAGGAAAAAAAAAAAATTACGCATTACCATCCGCGTTTTTAGGCTCTTATCGCTCGTTTCATAATTATCATGTTGTTAAAAATATAATAATTAATATTATATATTTGCTATTATATTATAGATATCGTTGGATTAAAAATGGGAAAAAATATGATTGGTCAACGTATGACGATCGCATTTCTCAACAACCTGGTAGAGGTACTTTGGTCATATCAAGACCAAGAGACGAAGATTTAGGGCAATATCAATGTTTCGCGCAGAACGAATGGGGTATAGCCACATCGAACTCTGTGTTTGTTCGAAAAGCCGAATTGAATTCTTTCAAGGACGAAAATCCGTTAACTTTGAGCGCGACTGAAGGTTCCCCCTTCAAACTTACCTGCCAACCACCCGATGGTTGGCCTAAGCCAAACGTTTATTGGTTAATTCAGGATATCGCTGGTGGTATCAAGTCAATCAATAACTCGAGAATGACTCTGGATCCAGAGGGTAATCTCTGGTTCAGCAATGTCACAAGAATGGATGCCTCGGACGACTTTTTTTATGCCTGTGCTGCCACATCTGTGTTCAGAAACGAATACAAAGTAGGCAATAAGGTTTTGCTAAACGTAATTTCTACAGGCGCATCCGCCGGTCAAAATAAGTATCCTCCCGAGAAACAATATGTCAGCAGGAAAAATGAGGTCGCTCTACGCGGCAAGAAAATAGAGCTATATTGTATATACGGTGGAACGCCCTTGCCGCAAATCGTTTGGAGCAAAAATGGCGAATTGATCAGCCCGGGCGACAGGATAACTCAAGGTAACTACGGCAAGTCTCTCGTCATAAAGCATGTCAATTTTGAGGATGAGGGAAAATACACTTGCGAGGCATCAAACGGAGTTGGCAGCGCCCAGTCGTACTCGATAAACTTGAACGTGATGGCCGTCCCGTATTTCACGGTCGAGCCGGAATTCGTAAACGCCGCGGAGGATGAAACTGTGGAAATTAGATGTGAGGCCAGTGGAGTACCCGCTCCCGAGATCAAGTGGATACACAATGGCAAACCGATATCCGAGGCGCCGCCAAACAGCAGACGGCGAGTCACATCAAATTCTATCGTCATAGAAAAGCTTGTAAAGAAGGATACGGGTAATTATGGATGTAACGCTACCAACTCATTGGGATACGTTTACAAAGATGTGTACGTGAACGTTCTGGCGCTCGATCCGGACATCACGCAACCACCCACGGACATGAGCACAGTCGATGATAAAACTGTGCGAATTACGTGTCGCGTTTTCGGCGCGCCCAAACCCGAAGTCAAGTGGATCAGGAACGGACAAGAGTTGACTGGTGGTCGTTATAAGACTCTGGACACGGGCGATTTGGAAATTGAGAACGTGATATTCGCAGACACCGGTACTTATACGTGTCATGCCTCCAATAAATTCGGCGAGGTGAAGGCGTCCGCTGAATTGGTTGTGAAGCAACACACTACAATAACGGACGAGCCGGAGGATTACGAAGTCGCTGCGGGTTCCACTGCCACATTTAGGTAAAAAAAAAAACTCATAAATATAAATTTATAATCTTGAAATTATATAAAATTAGGAATCTCGTTTTTAATCTTTCTTTTTTGCATTTGTTTAGGTGCAATGCTGTTACTGATCCTAGTCTACCACTGACCATAGACTGGTTGAGCAACGGTGAACCATTAGACTTCGAGATGGAACCCAGATTCATACGGAGTTCTGATTACTCTTTGATGATCACAAAAACAACCGAATTGGATTCCGGTACTTATACTTGCGTCGCACGCACCGATCTGGATGAAGCGAGAGCGCAAGCGACATTGATAGTTCAAGATGTACCTAATGCACCGAGATTAATCAACATCAATTGCATGACCTCGGAAGCCAACGTTCAATGGATGCCCATGGGCGATAACAGAGCACCCATTCTGCGCTATACTATTCAATATAATACTAGTTTTACGCCGGATGTCTGGGAGATATCCAAAGATTACGTTGCTGCCAGTGAACAGAGATTATCAGTGCCTATGTCACCGTGGGCTAATTATACATTCCGTGTTCTCGCGTGGAATAAGATAGGTAAGATTCTGATCATCCTTGAAAATTAAAAAGTTGTGCGATGTGTATTTCAGTGACATAATTCAGTGATTCAAATTGTGTCGGTAATTTTTACATGTCATTACGGCGACTTTCTATTCCATTTTTAGAGGAGAGAAAATAGAAACTTTGATATTGTGTTTATAATAGGTCCATCTTTACCATCACCGCACAGCGAAATTTGTACTACTCCATCGGATGTTCCTTATAAAAATCCAGACAATGTGATAGGCAAAGGCACTACGCCGCAAAATTTGGTTATCTCGTGGACGACCATGCCGCAGATAGACCATAACGCTCCCAGATTTATGTACCGAGTGTATTATAAGAGAGATATACCAGGTGAAAGATGGACTATACAAGATATAAATGATTGGAAGAAAAACAATCTGCTAGTGGAGAATCAACCTACATATCAGAAATACAAGATTAAAGTCATTGCGATAAATGAGAAAGGAGAGAGTAAAGCTACGGCCGATGAAGTTAGCGGATATTCCGGAGAAGACGGTACGATCCATGATGAAAAATTATTTTATTATTAATTTATATTTTAATTAATTTATACTTTTTATAATATTTATCTGGCGTAGAGGCTACCGTCTTGTGAATCATGTAGCCTCTACGCTAGATAAATATTATTCTTCCAGGGCGAGGCTCTTCCATTGTACTATGATTGAGCTAACCCTTATAATTCTAAATACCCTTACTGTGAATATCTCGGACTATTAATTAACATTAAAGTTGCCATATTTGATAAATCGATAATTGTATGATATAATATCGTTAATTTGCTTCAATTTCAGTACCTCTACAAGCACCAGGTAATTTTACACTGAATCAAGTAAAATCAAGCACTACTGCTCAGCTGTCGTGGAGTCCAGTACCGGAAGAATCAGTGAGAGGTGAGCTACAAGGATACAAGATTCAAACGTGGACGGATAAAGATGGCGAGAAGGGAATGCGCGAGATTGACATTCGTGGCGGCAATAAAACGCATGCGTTGGTCACAAAATTTGTTCCGAACAGCAAGAATAATGTGAGGATACTCGCTTACAATGGCAGGTAATAAAAAACTCGATATATATTGGTATTAAATAATTGTATTGTTTTTCACAATATCATTGTAATAATGTTTGTGGAATATACAGATACTCTGGTCCTCCGTCCGAGACTTTGACCTTCGATACACCAGAAGGAGTCCCAGGATCAGTACTCAGTTTAGAAGCATTTCCCATGGGATCTAGCGCTCTATTTCTCGCATGGACACGACCCGCGGAGCCGAATGGTATCTTAACCGGATATAGGATTTACTATCAAGTTGTGAATGGCACAAAATTAGGAACTCTACTCGAGAGGAAGCCGCATGTTATAAATCCGGACGCCACGACTGCCAAATTAGCTGGATTAGCGCCTGACACGATATACCGCGTTCACATACGTGCCACAACCAGGATTGGTGAAGGCAATGAGTAAGTTCTACAAGTATCTAATCTAACAAAATATTAATAACATTTCTACAAGACGATAAATATAATTTTAATATACGTTTGCAGCTATTTTATTGAACAAAAGACACGAACGTCTCAACGACCTGACATTCCACAATTTAAATGGGAACCTGTACCAGTGGAAAATGGATATTCCAACGTGAGAGTGATTTGGTTGCCGAATTTAAATGGTAATCCAGGCAGCCATTTCTTTGTTAAATATAATCTTAAGGGTGAAACAATATCTTCGACGACTGATCCCGAATTCTTGTTAAAGTTTATCGAGGTTTGTGTAGCAAAATAATGATAAATAATCTTTATTGTAAAAAAATTAAAAATTCAAGATTGTGCGCATTTAACGAAGAATTGTTGATTTACGCAGGTTCGCGGTCTTCAAAGCGGTGAAGTTTATGTAATGTCGATTGTTGCTGTCGACGGAGATTACATGACTGAAAGTGCTCCTCAAGAGGTAGAGACGAGCAGCGCAGGACCCATTATTCAACCGAAAGAAAATGTTGCAACGGCTGGCTGGTTCATAGGTAATGTTTCTTGATTGCATTATCAGATCTAATTTTTGCGAGACTGGTATATGCTAAAGAAGTTTTCCCGACAGGAATGATGCTGGCGATCGCTATTCTCCTCTTAGTGCTAATAATCGTTTGCGTAATTAAACGAAACAGAGGTGGAAAGTACGCGGTGCACGAGCGAGAATTGGCTGCTGGACGCGGTGATTATCCTGAGGAAGGCGGATTCCACGAGTACTCGCAACCATTAGACACCAAATCGGCTGGCGGACGTGCATCTCTGGCATCATCTTCTCATCAGGATGGTAAACATCCTGAATCCGATACGGATTCTATGGCAGAGTATGGCGATGGTGATACAGGTTAGTTATAGAATTTTATAACTTGCACACCTCAGAAATAATAAATCTAGAACATCAGAAGTCTTTGTGACATACATATATGGTATATAATTAAAAGTATATTTGTCGTGCACGAATTCTTTGATTATCAAATTTGATTAGATTCATTTACGTATCATTATGATATATTAAAAGTTTAGATACATATTGACTGAATTATCATTATGACATAAAAAGCATTTTTGAATATTTTTATATAAAAATAGCACGAAATAAGTTTCACATATAAACACAACTGACATTATCGTCATGAGACTTTTCTCATACCACGCAAATGCTTTTCCTTTTTATATATTTGATTATTACACTTTGCAGTTGCAATTACATAAGCTGATTATATTCATTTTTTAACTTTTATATTTTTGTCTTAGATTTTTATTTTTAATTTATATTCAAGTTATATTCAGTTCATATTTCGTTATACTTTATTTGCTTTACACATTTTGCTTGAATCAATACAGAGGGCATGAACGAAGATGGTTCTTTCATTGGTCAATATGGCCGACATCGTAAGCAGGAACCAAATTCGCAGGCATTTGCCACTCTAGTCTAAGGTAAGTTTGACACAAACATGTTTTTTAATGCTTAAAGCACTGCATCTAAGCTTTAAAGCAAAAATAAATGTTGAATTTGATACACTATTTATTATTTTATAAAGTTGCACTCTAATATTTTTAACAACATCCATTATTTATATTATTTTAAAGCAAAAATAAATCTTATTATGCACACATATACATAGGTTTATATCTTTTCCACATTTTTCAGCAATATAGAATTTACTACAAAGTTTCGAATTTGCTATCTGTTTTAGGCCGCTTCACTGAAGATGGATCCTTCATCGGACAATACGGACCTAAAGGTAGGCCAGAGGAGACACCACCAATTCCGACTGGTACTATGGCCACGTACGTGTAACATCCGCAACTATGTTAATCAAAGTCGCATAAAAAAGAAAAAAAAAGAAAAAAAAAACGTTTTCTCGTTACGGTTAAGGATCCGCCCGATCCTTGGCTACTGCAGCAGCTCTGCTATGCACCTTGCGCTGGGCGCAATGTCCAACACTATACTGCCAATTAGACTCAGGTTTTGGGTTTTATAATTTTTATAAAAGAAATCGTGGCTGTATTTTATATATTCGAGATATTTTACATATTCGAGTATTTTCGTATTCCAGATATTCATAGATTTCCGATACGTAATAAGCAAATATTACTTTATATTTTAGTTTGTGAAATATTAAAAATATATATCTTTTTTTTGCAGTTAACATTATTGATATAACAAGAATAGATCAGAATAGATTATGGATTATTATTCTCTTCTTCATTCTATTGTCAAGAATGCTGATGTGTATGCATCACAAGACAGCACATTTCTATTTTAATTATAAAACTCAAAAGCTGTAGGTGTTTCATAACATGCAAGCTATTTATGGAAATAGTATTGTAGAACTATTCTAGCATTGATCGTAATATTTGACAGAGCCAGATTGAGTTGGACACGCCGATTGACAAGGTATACGAATTATTCCAGACTTGCGAAATACTTTTAAGACTGCATGTAGTATCCAATGTTTCGCATAATGCGCGTGTTGATTTCTAAATTTATCGTATTTACATCTTTTAACATAGCATCGAGTGCTGCAATTGAAAGAAAGATTTAGAAATTAGTTCTGTTAAGAATAAACATTATTGTTTATCCGATACAAGTATTTGCGCATTTTTCTTATCAAACAATTTATTGCTTTATTTATACCTAAACATTTACATTAGTAGTTTTGTCGTGTATTGGAAATTTCTTCTGTTAAATTACCGAACTGCTCTTCAAAAATATTTTCCACTTAATAATATCCACTTGAATCACGTCCATAAAGAGAGATTTCATATTGAGATAATTTAGATTAATATAATTTAAAAAATATAATATTTCTTTTGGATATGTGCAGAATTATTAAATATAAATGTACAAATACAAACAGAAAATATTTTTCTTTTCTTTTAGGAGAATTAAATATTTGTATCGATAATCAATAAAATTTATGTTTGACAGAAATTCTTTTATTCTAGTAGTATATATTTGAATAGTATTATATTCGAATGACTATATATATATATCTAAAATGTATTCATAAAGTATTAAATCTTAGTGCCTATATTGGAAAATATTATGATAATGAAATTACTTATAAGATATAAAAGTGACATTCATGCTTTAAACGGAACGTATTAATCGAATTTTCGCGATAAATGCTTTCATTTGAAGCTTTATTGTAAAATTGGTGCACAGTGTAATTAGAAAGACGTCTATGGAAAGTTTTTACTATTTTATATATAAATAGAGTGAGTATATGATTTTAAAAAATCATTATCTTCTGAAGCTTCTGTAATAAATAATTTGAAAACGAAAGAACATCCGGTATGTTAACGCAATGAACAATACGTACATTTACATGCAATCTTGAAAATGACGAATAATGTAAGAGATAGTGTCGCAATCTGGCTTCGACTGATTTTAACTTTAATCTTCTAATGAACGGTTATTCTAAGAACCTTTAGCCGCGATCAATTTTTACTCTGCCGAAGAAGGGCCAAATCTAAACGAACGAATAATATAATCTACAATTGTCATGCACTTACACTCTTTCATTATTAATACATACACATATATATTTACATACACATATGCGCAAACAAATGAGGATATGCGAAGGATAAAGTAAAGGATAAATATTGAAGGAGAGATTGTGTATGCACTATAAGTAGATAACAAAAATCGCAAGGCCTCTATAAGTAATTGTTGCTTTTGTATGTGAAATATGCTTCGACACGAAAACCCTTTTATTTTTATGGAAAAGTTTACTTTTTTTGCTTTTTTGATAATTTTATTATAATCCAATAATTATAAGCTAATGCTCTACATTTAATATATACAGATATTAAATATATAAATATATATAGAGAAAGAGAGAGAGAGAGAAAGAAAAAGAAGTAAAGAGAGAGATATTATATAAATATATATATATATATATTAATTATGAATTATTATTATTATTATTACTAATTTTTTAAAGAATGCGACGATCACACAGCAGAGCAACTATAATTATTATTACTTAGTGTATGGGATGTTAAAATTTGTTTAAACCTCTAAGTACAATTTGTACAAAAAATTTGTTTAGATAAACGTTAAGTTAACGTAGTCAATGCGATGTACAGGTTGTCTGCAAAAGTGTCGCGAGCAAATATGTCAGGTACAAAGATAAAAAGCGAAACAAAGATAGGTACAAAGTGAAATAATATTTATGATACGTATGATACGCAAAGAATCACGAATGTAGTACTTTTAAATGATATATCACAGACAAGACTAGCCCGTGTCTTTCTTCATGTCGCGAATTCTTATAAGAGATATCTTTTACATACCGGATGCAAAAGTATCTTTCTCTCTAATGCGATTAAAAATATATTTGTTACGGTGTTTTTTGCCGAACATCCTGTACAAGTGACTTGGACGTCACACGATAATTAAGACTTTTCTTTCTAATTACATGATATTGGCTTATATGGTAATAATATACGAACGTTTTCGTATTATTATACGTCCATTAATGTTATTCATTTGTCGATGTTAAAGACAAAAAGAAACCTAATTAGATAGAGAGCGTGAATCTTACAGACGGTTGTGACGATGCTAAAGACTGCGTACTGCGATAAACAATGTCAATCGTTTATTCAATCGTTTATTCGTGAAGAAATCACTTGTGAGTTTACTGATCTGATTTATAGCTTTATACATACATAAGCGAAAGACCGCCATATTAACAGTACGAGACAATCTAATATCGTCGATACAGTTGTATGGTATGTACAACTGTGCAATCTTTAAACTTACTCTATCGAAGCTGCAATTATATACAATAGATAGATGCATAAGATTTTCTCGAATCAATATCTTGATATATGATTGCGCTAGCAATAACCATGACGAAATTGACGATGGAATTATAGATGTATCTTGGTAATCTCGATGTCCAAGTCACAAGACACAAACACACACACAACACACGAGAGCGCATTTTTAGAGTATTTTTATATTGTGCTAGCCTCTCGAGTTTTACCCCGGGATGTAATGAGGCTTATTCGTTTTGCACATTATAAACTATCAGTTTATTCGTTAACTCTATAATGTTATACATATATACATGTATAAAAACTTCCAAATACTTTCGCACGAGCAGCTCTTCGTACGTTGTAATATTTGTATTTCTCTTCTTTATTTTTTTTATAGTTTTGTACTTTGTATAAAAAAAACATCATTTGCGTTTCTTTACGCGCAATTTCGAATCTACAACGGGTGCGTGCGTTTCGTCGATTTTACGTATCTCGTATCTCCTTTGAAACGGAGGACGAGGAAATATCTACTACTACTCTGCTTGATATTAGGTTGCGTCGACGAAGGGAGAAACGATTCGTGATTTATACTACTAAAGAGTGTTCATTGTACAACGAGCATGCACACGTTATTCTCAAAAGTATTGTAGAGTGTCTTGACTCTTTTTACGGCGAATTTCTTCCTCTTTTTGGAATCTCATTTATTTCTTAATACACAAAGTGTTCATTTTCGATTAGCTTAATTGATCGCGATATTATATTTTATAGATTGTATATCCTATTAAATAATAAACGCGAGAGGATAGTATTATAATCATTGATAACACGTTCGCGTTAACGTACTTCCGAATCTCTTTTGATATTCAAGTTACTTAAAGACATTGCGTATAATAAGATCATCATAGACATGGAGCATTCGCCATAAAAAGAGTCAATGATGCAGAGAAGACGAATCTCAATAATGTATATTAGCGTGTGCCAGCTTATCATCATGTGAATTCTTTATTATATATTACCTTTATACTTACTAAATAGCGTGCCGATGTGTTTTTTTCGCCATTTGATTACACGTACAGCTATAAAAAGAGCGATATAACGAAAGCGTATTTTCATCGGCCGTCACAATTTAGACATAATTTTTCTACGAGATTTAAAAGATTGCAGAGTTTTAGAAATACGCGCATACAGGGCGCTCCATCCAGCCTTGATAACGCTTTTATGGATTTAACTCGATTCGAATGTATCGCGAAGAGAAAATCATTTGTGTAGAAAAAGTTGCACATTGATATAAGAAGGCACAAAACTGGCCTAACTTTCATCGTGCAAACATCTTTCGTCCATAATATACATGTAAGCTGTTGAATATCGCGCGATTGAATGGACCACCCTGTAGAGAGATCTTCTCGTCTCTTCGTGAAAGCAGCGAGATACCGAAATCGGAGATCACTATATGATATATATGCGAATATAATTATATCTTTTAAGTTTACTTTCATTCACAATACGCGCATCGACGCGCATCTCGACATTTGTCCGCATAACTCTCATGTCAATGAAATTAAAAAAAAAGAAAAGAATAAACGAAGAGGAAATCTACAAAGAGGAGCATTATAATTTGGATCCACATCGATTTTTATGTCCAATAAATCCAATCGAGATAGCGATTCCTCCTTCATACGTCATTTTTATCCAGCAATAAAGTCTAATACAATTTAATTTAATATTTAGTTTGTTATATATTAATATTTATAGATAATTTTGAATTCTCTTAAAAGGAATACGAACCATTAAAAACAATACATGTATATTTTATATGTAAATACATAATTTATTTTATTTTTACAAAAATGATAATATATATCGGTCTGCCTAAAATTATTAATTTCTCGAGAACAATTACGTTATGCTCTCTCTAAATTGAAGCTCGTCTTGGATAAATGCGCTAACTGCGGACGCAGAAATCGAGCAAGATGTGACCGATAATGTGATTATGCCAGACGGGTTTTTTTGCGTCTGTGTTCTCTCGATCTTCTGCGCTACTCTGGATCCTTTCTTTCTCTCCCTCGTCGCGGTTTGCGCCACAGACGAATAAAAGATCGAGGGAGAATAAAGGGAGATGCGATCGGGGCCGTCCGCAGAAATATAACTACGATCCGCGCGTGCATCGAACGGCAATTCTTCGATCATTCGAGTCTCTACATGAAACAAGGATATTTAAATTTTGAGGGTTCAAGGCTGTCGTACATTCGAAAAGAATGAAAATTGCTTTAATCTAGGGAGACAAAAATCTACTTGAATGTATAAAAATTTTCTGTACACACATATAACTTTTAAGATTGTCTTGTTCAATTTTAGATTACATACGTATAATATTTAAAAAATTTAGAGAAATTATTTGTAACACTTATCTTTCGAAAAGATGCAAAGACTTTCGTTACGAGATAAAATCGTAATCGACGAATTTCGCAAAGAGAGTACACTTAAAGAGAATCGCTCTATGACACATTGAAAATTGTTTGCGCATCCTATCTGCTGCCAAGAATCCCCGATATGATAAAACGTGCAATCGATAACGCAACCTATACGCATTATATACGTGATCCACGAACGAGAAAGCGAGACGAGTGTAAGAGAGCGTCCGCGAGGCAGGCAGGCTGCCGGTTTATTCCTGATCGAATGTTTTTGTACGACCGCCGCGCAATCCTAATTGAATTCGCTGTTGGCAGGCGGAGTTGCACCGAGAGTATATACGTGGAGAATGGCCGCACGAATTTCTTATTCGATAAAATTTAACTCCGTTTCTCTTCGCAGGGAGAAGCAAGATAAAGATACGTGGGATCCTAAACTCCTATGACCTCCTGGTTGAAAGAATCACGATTGACGTCGGAGTCGATCGATCAGCGCCAGATTTTTTCCATACAGCTTGTTTTACAACAATTATAACAATAATTTATAAAGATAAAATTAATTGAAGGAATCTATGATGTATTTGCGTAAGAAATACTATACGAGATGCTTCTTTTTCGTAGAACGTCTCGCTATCTTCCATCGTTGGATGTTTCTGAGCGTGCGTTTAAGAATTTGTGACCATTCACAACATGTTCACGGTCGTACTGTGCGTACCGGAAGAACAAGGATGAAGTTGAAGGAAGATGGAGACCTTTCAGCTATGTAGGATAACAATGGATCATTTATTGGAGCCAGTTGCGCGACACCAATGGTTACTATTGATGATTCATTGAGGTCGCTCTTAAAGAGAATCTATCTCGATTCAGTAGATCCATCTAAAAATAGAGTTTAACTCGATTATTTCCAGTTATCGATGAACGCAAACTTTATCAATCGGCAAACTCTTCCACTTCGTCATAAATGTCTCGTACATATACGCAACCTTGTAAATCATGAGTTCGTGGTAACATCGATGCATTATGCAATAAGAAAAATAAAAAGTAAAGCCGAAAGGAAAAAATCCGTAAAGTAAAATTGAGATTTTATATTAAAAAGATATAGATATATATATGTATATATTTCTTCTCTTTCAATTCTGCATTCAGTAGTTCTTCAATGTTTAAGCTTAAACGAATCTTACGCGCAAGAAAATATGTTTATAGCGACTTAAGTATCTTATAATGTGTGAGTGGAATGCAAATGTGAATTTACGCGACACGGAAATAAAATTCAATTGTCGGCGAGATATAAAGAATGAGAGAGAAAGAGAATAGAAAAGAGAAAAAGACAGAGAATGAAAGAAACGGCGTGAAAAACCAGCAATTAAGTAAAAAAATGTTAAAAAACTGGTTCTTTTCGTTAATGTTTCTTTTTACTTTTTTTACTAATTTGAATATTGATTTCAGCATATACTTTTTCAACTCTAACAAAAATTAGTTTTCAGTTAAAATACGATTTAAAAATAGATTCTACCGATTATGTGCACATCCAAAATTAAAGGAAATTAAAACTTTCGAGATTCACTTATTGCATGAAAATGAATATGTGAATTTAAATAAAAAGAAGAGGATTTTTATTTCCACGGGACTTGTCGAAGCTTAATTCACAATATTAAAAATTCGAAATATTCTACAATTTTTTATTTACCGTTCTTACCATTTAATCGAATATTATGAGTTTAATTTTATGAATTAATCCATCACATGGAAGTTAATTCTTATATATTAATTAACAAGAAAATTAGCTGAGATGAATTAAAGATTTAGTAAAATTAAAAACTTGTACGTATAAATTGAAACTTTTTAAAACTTAGTTTTCTAAGATAATAATAAGAATGAAAAGCGTACAAAATAGTATGTGTGAAACCGAAGCGATGCTCCTCTTTGCGAGGTCGTTGTGCACGCAGCCTTATTCCAGCGGCACGTCCGAGCTCGCTCTCCTCGGCGTGCCCCCGAGTCCGTCTGCGAGATCTCTATCTCGCTCTTCACGGAGGGGTCTCTCGGCCTCCCTCTCATTGAGAGTCAGTCAGTCAGTCAGTCAGTCTGCCGGAGCGACGCGGTTCGTACGCATCGCACAGTACGCGAAGCGTGCACGCACGCACGCACGCGAGGGATCATCTTCGAGCGATCATTTTCCTTCCCTCTGCTGCCTTATCGATCGAGAGGGTGGACAACCGCGCGTTGAAATCACTCGCACCGGGGAGGGGGGAGGGAGTAGGAGAGGACCCTCTCCTGCGGCACCGCAGGTGACGTCCGCGGTGACGGCGTGAAATCCCAAATTTCACACGCGTCTAACGGACGGCACGCGAGCTCCGCTTTCGCAGGAGATAAGCGACCGGTGAAACGTTGCCCTCTGCGTTACCTATTTACTTGTGTACTGTTTTTTTTCCTTCCTTTTACGACTGCCACGGGGAAGGGGCGGTCTTCTTCTTCTTCTTCCTCCTCCGGTGTGCGTGCAACACCTGGCAGTGGTACTGAGCGGCACTAGTCGCGGACGATTATTATGCGATCCGCTGCGGCCGTCCTGGCCGCGGCGACGGCGCTCGTTCTGCTCCTGGACGGCGCGCTCGCTCGGCAAAAGCATCGCTCCCGGAACGGCGCGCACAAATCAGATATCTCTCTCTGGATCGACCAGCAACAGACGAAGATGTTAAGCGGTACACAGTTATTTGCGAGCGATCTCTTCTTCCTTTACAATTGTCTTTTCTTCGGGTGACGCGTCGCGATACCTGAAATATGTATTATGAAGTTCTCGATAGCACAACATATTGAAAATTCAAATATTATATTTATATAGAACAACTTCTTTCCCCTCCTCCCGCTATGAGCTGTTTTTTAATAACAAAATTAAGTATGTCACAATGTACATAAAAGAATTGTGTTTTTATGATCGATCTAGGACTGGCTATGGAAATATACGCGATCGCGGAGGGTAGAGTGATCAGTCATCTCTTGGATCCCGAATTCGAAAGAAAATTGCCGATAATTCCGAGCGAGGTATCGCACGTGAATTTCACGTGGAAGGCCGGGACTAAAAAGTATTATTACAATTTCTTTCGCTTGAAATCGTTCGACGAGAGCATCCTGAAAACTCCATCCATCACGATCGATACACGAGGACGGGTTCCCAAACGACCGAAAGGTAACAGAAAAATTTAAAATATATCTTTAATATAATCTAACATTGTAACTAATGTGAAAATTGTTTATATCATACAAAATATGAAGCAACGAAAATAAGTAATTTGCATAAAATTTCGCTCGTAAGATTTTATATGATTAAACAAATTTTAATTATATATATTTTTTTCTATACTATATGTTTATATCGTCAAAATTTCTTACAAAGCAATTATATTAAAATTTTGTTCGAGAGAATCGACTTTTCATTTTCCAGAGACAATAATCCTTAAAAGAGAAAGATTTAAAGTTTCAATAATTATAAATTCAAGGTCAAGCGTTTATTTGTTTACGAAATGCTTGTACGGTGATTTTTCGCTTAGTATCAATCAATGGTACAAGATGTACAGTTCTAACGTCTCACATTTAATAGCATTTTCGTGTTTATCAGTTGAAGTGTATTTGATTTGGGTCGGATATCCGATTCTAATCTAATACACATTTAGTTCTTATCGCGCAGTAAAATGTATTTTCAGCTAATATTTTATTCAAGAATATATTATTGATATTTTATAATTTTCTGGAAAAAATGGTAATAAACTATGCTCGCGCTTGTAAGAGAAATTATATTTCATCAAAAAATTATATTTCATTAAGTTTAATCTCTCTTATGGCGTAGAAAATAAAAAGTATCGCGCCGACAGTCTTTGTTTACACAGCCAAAGGTGAAGATGTCTCGACTCGTAGCACATGAAATCTTATTCTCCCAATATTTAACAGGATAAAAATATTTTACTTGTTTGAATTGAGATATACTTCACATTTTCTTGTTACTTTCATTTTAAAATTTAATCTAGAATTCTGTACGAGTTACTTTTGACATGATTTCAAACACTAAGTATAGTTAATCAAATAAAGATTAGATAAATTGTCGATCAATTCTTACTTCGCATCATTATTACTTTTTGCTGGAACAATTTAGCCGATAAAACTTGCGATATATGCATATAATCTGTATCATGTAAACAGAATGCCAAATACTTTTATATTTTTTTACAGATTGTGCAAGTAATCGAGCGTGCGTGCGTGCGTGGGTCGAGAAACATACACGTACACGCCAATAATATATCTTCTTTTCTTCGTTGCAGAGTTCAGTATTCTGCTACCTTGCGCCGGCAAAGGTATAGCGCAATTCGGCATCGGTCTAATGATCGAGACGCGCAATGGGATATCTCTGAATGGGACGCCGCTACGTTTCCGTTTGAGAAAAGAATGCAGCGTGCGCGGTGAGTGCGTCAATCGCGCCCACGATCACCACCTCTTCGCTCACACAGTTCTGTATTCAGTAATTCATCAGCCTAATTTGTTGCCGCTCTTTTGATCGTTGTCTTGAAGATGTTTTCGGACGTGTCCGAAAACATGAGCTACGTGTCGTTTTACACGTGCATGTAAAATTCAATTGCCCTGAATATTTCCGACTGGCCTCTCTTTCATTTTAATCTGATAGCTGTTGCATGTACCTGTAGTCGTGAGCGCTCGTTTTGATACTTTGTAAGAAAAACGATTACCTTGCCTATCTAACTGCCTACCTGCCGACCGGGGTGATGGGTCCGATAATTGTGCGAAGTAGGCGCGTCGAATCCTCGCTCCATGGCGTGTCGGGGAGATTTACGGTTGTTAAGTCATTAAGAGATCGCTTTTGAAGTTTCGAACATTGTGACGATGTCCTGGTCTAATGCCAACGCAGGTAAAATGTCAAAAGAAATAGCGAATCGATTAATTTTTGGCCTATGTTTTTTTTCGAATACTTGGATCTTGTGTGTGTGCTATTTTTATATGTTTACTCTTGAGCTGTAAAAAAATTAACGTTACAAGAAGAAGGAAAAGAAAAAAAGGAAATTTTAAAATATTCACAATGTTAAAATTTGAACAAATCTTTTCTTAAATTTTTAAGAGTATATTTCACAAATTTGGATTCGCCATATCGCGCACTAGTTGAACCTATCATAGATTAGAGATGCGAACCGCTTTTGCGAAGCTTATCTCTTGTATATAACAGAAGCCACTCGTTCTAGATTCTCTATTAGCGCTATCTTGAAATACATACAATTCGCTATTTGTAATTACTTTGTTAATTCAATTCCACATAAATAACGCAAATATTGCACTGATCTTTACTTTTAGAAGATACACAACTTTCGCAACTCGAGAAAGATTAACTGTTGTATGATAAAAGATTATTGGCTTCAGTCTATGTTTTTTACCCAAATATTCAACCAAGTCATTTTTGCGCTTGTTTTGTATGTCTTGTATGTTATTAGCATTCCATTTTTTCGTTTTGGCTCAACACTTTGTTAAATGTCAGTCGTCTACGCTTTCTCGAGTCATTGTTCGCTCACGAATCATGAATTAAGTGTCTAATTGCCTACTTAATACGAAAGAATCCACAAGTCTACTCGGTCTTTTTCTTGGCATTATCCTCAGCTGCCTCAATTCCTATATCATTCTAAATTGCCAATCGTCAAAAGTATAAAAATATATTAATCTTTTAATATATAAATATATATTAAAAGATTTTGCATAAATTTTGTGTTGATAATATTAAGATAGGAATTCATTTGCGACATGTACAAGCGATCAAACTAATTCAAGTTTATTGTACAGATCTTGATAATTTAAGAAAAGATCAGCAAATGTGTGTAACGATTCATATGATACATCATTATTTTAATCCACTTGAATTCAGATGGAATACGGCGCTCGTATAATCATTTTTGTGATAATAAATCGCGATAATTTGGAGTACACTATGTTAAATGTGCAAACGGGAATAATTATCTTTCACATTGACCAAAGTTGTTTGTGTATTTAAAATAAGGTTTATAATTAAAAAGAATCACGGTCATTTGCGCGTGTCACGAAAATGAGATATAATACATGATTTATTTTAGTCTTCTCGTTTGCAATATTTTATTTAAAGTATTAAAAAATTTTAATCTACACCATTTTTATTTTTTTGTGAATTTATTATATATTCTATTATGCTACATCTTGATCAAAGTATTCTCTTTTTCTTAAATTAAAAATACTTATTTAATCCGAGTAATAAAATAAGTAGAAATAAACTTGAATTGTTTCTTTTATGTCAAGTCATTAGATAAAAATATATCTTTATTATAAATAATCTCAATTTCGTGGCTTATCGCACGGTTTTAAAAAAAATTCGATTAAAATCTGCATGTGTAAGATGATTGCATTCACAATTTTATCTTATCAGATTAACAAAATCGCGCTCGATATCTGTTACTAGAATATTCTGTTTTTAATAGAATTTATACAGAGATTTGAATTGTTGAATACATATGTGTGTGTGTATATAGGTGTACTGCAGCAATATATATTTCTTTTAACTTTGATGTATTTCTTACAGAGCCTAATCCTGGTCCTTGTCCGGATGGTTATCTAGGGCCACCTCATTGCAACAAAGCGCTTTGTTATCCAAAGTGTATGAATGGTGGTAATTGCACGGCACCGGGTGTGTGCTCGTGCCCGCCAGGATATCAAGGACCCTACTGTGAAGGAGGTATAATAAATTGTACAAACTAACATAAATACGTCACTTATACAAGTAGATCTTTTGTCGTCTCAATACATGTCTAATTTCATCAAATCTATAAAGATTTACTTAAAGTTGACTATAAAATAAATGTTGTCATATTCGTTTTCCCTTATTTAGCTTCAAATTATATATTTTCTTTCTGATGTTCTGATGTTTTACATTATTTTATATAAAATTCAAAATTTTTTCTAAGAGATTTTCCTGGACATGAATAGATGATTTTCAAAGGAAAAAAATCATGATTGAAAAATGTCTCAATAAACTTAAAATATCGTAAAATTGATTCACGTCATCTACTATAGAAAAATAATAATTTATTATATTCTCTTACCTTAATTATAATTTACAATATCTACAATAATATTCTGTTTAATGGGGAATGCATTCATATCACTTTGGAAATGGATATAGCCGTTTTACAACCAAACTTGATCACATTCGTTAAAGCTTGATAAAAAGGCGCTTGTTCTGCGCCATGATCTATGCCCGTATCATGATGCTCCTGTTCTTCGTCGCGAAATTTTTTGATGGTCTCGAGTATCTCCTCATCTATGTTCCTGTCCTTGTCCTCCATCAATGTGCGTAACTGATCGTTGTAGTGTTCGACGATCACGGTTTCCACCGCCACGGTGCATGCCATTGCTGCTTTTTCACCCATGAGAGCAGTACCAGCACCTAGGGCGAAACCGGCGATATTCCATAGCGGCGTAAGAACAGTGGGTCTGACCCGGTACTTGCGAATTAGTTCCTCAAACTTGGCGCGATGTCGTTTCTCTTGATCCCACATGTGTTGTATCGTCGGTCCGACCGTCGTCTTGCCTACAGGCATTCAATTCGCATGAAACTCTTCGTTAGAATCTCAATTTATATTCTACATCTCTCTTGTGCGTTTGGAATGATTATACCTAATACGGCCATTTGTCCGGCGTATATTCTATCCGCTCCCAATTCGCCAGCATGGTCGACTCTTATTATCGAATCCAGTATCTTCCCAGTTGCGCTTGTGGCCGCTGATGTGCTGGCCATTCGCACTCCCACTGCTCTGATGTGTAACATTTTTCTGTAAAATTTGGATTAAATAATAAGTATTTCGGTTATTAAAATTGACTACATTGAATAAAATTGCAGGTATCTGCAGGGAGAAATGCTTGAATGGAGGAAAATGCATACAAAAGGACGTCTGTGAATGCACCAAGGGTTATTTTGGTTTACGCTGTGAATTCTGTAAGTATAAATGTACACTTTGAGGAATCTTTTCTATTATTTATAAACTTTGTATTTATCTGCCTTTTCAGCCAAATGTGTCATCCCTTGTTTGAACGGAGGCAAATGCAGGGGCAATAATATTTGTCGATGTCCAAAGGGTTTTAAAGGTAATCATTGCGAAATTGGAAGACGCTCGTCACAACGATCGACGTGTACGAGAGCATGTAGGAACGGGATCTGTCAACCGGACAACACATGTCTCTGCGATTCTGGTTGGTTTGGAAAGTTATGTAACAAAAACAAACCATGGGCTTAGGAATTGATAATATATCTTTGCTATTTTTTATGTCAATTAAACTCTTTCAAGATAACATCTCATTCTAAATTTTCAGACATATAAATTATATTTATAATTTATATATTCTTAATTACACATGTACCAAGAATTAATGTCCTATGTGTCGGTAGAGAAAGAATCTCGTGATATTAAAATGATTCAAGGAGAGATTTGTAAGATCTTGTTCATTTAATACCGAGATACAATATGTGTGCAAAAAAGAAGCCTCGTGAAATTTAGATCCCAAGAATTTTCAATCAGTCGCTAGTAGAAAATTTTTAATTTCTAATTTACCTTGTTCCAGATGTGATATGTAAAGCTATTTTTTTATGCCATCTTATATAACAATATTATATGTTTAGTTATACAATATCTTTGTGGGTATTGTAGTAATATGTAGTATGATTGTAAAAACAAAGTAGGAACAAAATATACTTTTAACCATGCCAGAAAGTATGGATTATACAACAGTTCAGCATTATAGTAGTGTCTGTGATGGATATTTCTCTTTTTTCTTGCAGTTACGCTGTTTTTCTGTGTATGTCTTAGAATATGGAAATAAATATGGCTTTTTATTATAAATTCTTGAAAAGAAAAATGAATGTGTTAAACCGATAATCGCATTTATAAGAATCGTATCGTAAGATCAGACATAGATCCTCAAAACAATCTTCTCTTTCTATCGCATAACAAGAAACCAAGATCTAAGGTCAAGTTTTTATCTCGATTTTTCTACTTGCAAGCTAGTGTTTTTTTGTACTCAACAATGATGCAAGATAAGAAAAGAAAATAGCAAGAAATTAATCGAATAATTTTTCATACTTGTAAGGAAAAATCAGCGATATACTCGGCAAGTTTCCGGAGGAAATTTTTCGCTCTCGAATCAACAGAGTGGAGTCTATACGATAATGGTACGATGATGAGAGCGACGAAGTCGTCAATCAGAGACACGAATAAATAGCATAAATAAATGCGTCGCATATCGGGTAATAAAGACGAATTAAGACGAGGGATCCTCACCCAACGTCGGGGACAACTCGCTTCGTTTCGTTTCTCTCAGAGTTTCTCTTACTCGGCGGGCGGTGAGCGGTGACGGGTACAGGTTATGTCGTCCGACATTACGTCGAGTCGCGCGTCACGTGTCCCGCCGACCAATGGCGGCGACGGTACGCCGTCCGCCATGACGCGTGCCCCAGCGATTCCCGCCAATCGTGCTACTTCAGTCTTATATATATGTATATGGCGTTGGCGTTCTCCCGGATCGCTGCTGCTGTTTAACGGATGTTCAACGGGGAAACGGTGAGTGCTGGCGCGATATCGGCGCAAATCGGGCGGCCGAGAAACCGGGGGTCGGCGTGAGCCGTGCGCGGCGTCCGCGGCGTCCGCGAAATCCGGGCAATTTCGCATCGTCTGCTCGGGCTGGCCTGCATCGCGCAGGCTCGCCCAAGATGGCCGGTCCGCGGCCGCCGTTCGCGTTGTGGTGGTGGTGATGGAGGCCCGCTCGGTACCGATCGATACGCCCGCCGCCGAATACCGGCCATGGCGGCTAACGTTGTCGCTGTCGCGCGTTGTCGTCACGCATCCTGAGGTAGACGCGGTGCTGGACCGGCCACGGTGATGTTAAGCGCGAGCGCGGGGCGTGGTGCGAGAGCGTAGCCGAGGCACGCTGCCTCCCCGCGACGAGAGCTCTCTCCGTGATCCCTGAGAGCTCTCTCCATCCATCCATCCACTCCGCGGGACACACCAAGGTGCGTACGCAACTCGCGATTTTCACTGGGCCTGCTCCATCGCGTTACCGCGTTACCGAGCAGCCGTCGTGAGCAGCTCCGCGGCTACCCGGAGGTGGTGGTCTCTTTTGCGTGTGCCCTGCGCATTTTCATTGCCCCCCCAAAGTATCGGCCCGAATAAACGCGCATATCCCCGCGTCTCCCTCTCCGCCTCGCTGTCCCGTTGCGTTCCTCGCTCCGTCTCTCTCCGTGTCTCTCTTTCTCTCTCGCCGCCCCTTATACGCGCGCGTACTTTATCGCGCGTTGTCTTGTTGTCGCCTGTCCGTCTGTCAACTTTGCGTGCGAGATGTCACGAGGAGGTGGAGGTGGAGGAGGAGGACGAGGAGGAGGAGGAGGAGGAGGAGGACAGACGCGGCAGCCGCCACACTACCGTTGCGATCGCCGCCGCCACCGCCACCGTTGCTGCTATTGTCGCCGATCAACTATGTTTTGCGTAACGAGGCGTACAGCCTCGACCGTGCCGATGATATTCGTGAGAGCCGCGTGGGTGCATACGCGCTACCTAGGAGTCGCGTCGTCGGGAGGATGCCTCGCGACCAAAGTCCTCCGCGCGAGAGGGGCCTCGTCGCTCACGGCAGACACGAGCGGATGTTTTCAGTTCGTCGCTTGTGCGAAATGTATATATGTACATGTGTATATGTGTACATATATATTATATATTATATATTATATTATATATATATATATATATATATATATATATATATATATATATGTATATGATATATGTATGTATGTATGTATACATTGCATATTACATATACATGTATATATACAGTATATGTACATGTATATATGTATACATACACACATATATGTATATGTATATTTATATATCCTCAGAGTTACTTCTTTATACTTTTCTCCGAGACCAAACACATGTGCTTTTATTTTGCTCCAAACACGCGATGTTTTCCCGCAACGCGGGACGCGTACATTTCTTTTACGGAATAATATCCAATGTCCCAACACATAAAATTTTTCATCGTTTATGCATTCAGCATATTGTTGTATTTCAATTGCTACTATAGAAGTGGAAATTTTTAACAAAAAACAATTTTTTATTACACATTAGGCTAAGGTGATGTAGAGGAAATTGAAACTGCCAAATCGAGACGACGCGCCGACTTCCTCTATCACGAGTGATTTCGATATACAAGATACCAAAACGGGTGACGACGAGAAAAAGATGGTATCTCTGCCTAATGCAGAGACTGGCACAATGGACAGAATCTCGGACGACGACGACGATGAGCCTAGTAGCGGATCAGAGACTTACGAGGAAGGAGATCTCCTGTCAGCTGCTATGGGTGATGACGTCACAGCCCAGCTCGCTGCAGCAGGTTGGCAAAAAAACATTGATGGTGATTTCTCATTTTTTGCTTTTTCAGTTTTTGTTTTTGACCAGTGATCGATTCCTAATCATTTTTATTTACGAATGAAGCACAATTAGCAGGATGTCCTCGAGGCATTGTTTAGCATTACGGGTAATATCCTGTATCAAGATCAGTGAAACTTCAAGTAAGAAGAATTGAAGCTTTGGTCTTGCGTAATTAAACATAACTTCTACACAAGAAAAAAAAACAATGCCTTTATATATTATAAATATCAAACTTATTTTTTTTCAAAATTATTTTATATTAATTTTTTATAGATAAATTTATATAAATCTTTCAACTTAACATAATAACATTACAATCTTTTATGCATATCAGACTCATCAGACTTAATTTTAAATAAATTTTTTAAATTTATGCTTATCAGATATTAAATAATTGTTTTTTTTAATTTATGCATATAAGATTTGTATTTAAATATTATCTTTTTTCAAAGTGAGATTTTAATTCTTGTACAACTTTTTTTAGTAAAAATTTATAGTTTGCAATTATGTGCTTGTAAAATATGTTGCCCTAATGCTATGTTTTTTAATTCTACACTAATGTTACTTATTTGTAATTATTATATAAATAATTTATTTGTTTGCCAATCTTTCTTTTTATTTCCATTTTATATTTGTGTGCTATATCTTTACTTTGTTTTATGTTATCAACACTGGTGAAAAATTATATTAATTAATTGAGACTACATAGGTGTAGGAAATATTTCCTACATCTATGGTCGAAACAAATTTGCAATCTTATTATGGAAGTTTAAAAGTTCTGAAGATCGAAATATAATTTTCAATTCTTTCTTCCTTTTCAAAATGAAGCAGATTGATTGACTACAAGATGAAAAATCAGATTTTAATGTTATATTTTTGGTACTGTGAAAGCGATTAATGCGAGTTTATACATCAAAGTTTTTATAAATATTTATTAGAAATTATGAGATTATGAAATAATTCGTTCAATTAAAAAATGAGGCAACCTAGACAAATTATGTTTATCATATTATATTTCCATCTCACACAAGTTTCAACTATGCAATCTTATATTTTTCTCCATTGTTTCTTATCTGTAAATTTAATGTAAAATATCTTAGATCTTAAAATGTAAGATTCTTTTACACATTTTCAAAATTTTCGATATTCTTTTTTGTGTTCTTTGTCAAGACAGACTTACAAAACTTCCTTTTTCTCTTAACAACAATTATTTTTATGTTGCAATTATTTATAATCACAACTTTTTGTATGATTTTTCAAGCACGTTTTATTTCATTGCTCACGCATTTTTGTTTAATTGTGTTAGAGGTACATTTATGCTTTTGATATGTCAATGTAATTCATTGAAGTAAACTTTCTTATATAAATATTTTTTTTTCTCATTATTAATATGTAATGCAAAGACTTTTTGAAAAAATTTTTTTCTTTTTGATTATATTGACATATTAAGAGGTCTAAAGCTATAACAAAACATTTCTCCCACATTAAAAAATCTTTAGGGCCAGTTGGTGTCGCCGCGGCTGCTGCCATTGTATCAGCCAAGAAACGGAAACGACCTCACAGTTTCGAAACTAATCCCAGTATCAGAAAAAGACAACAGAATAGGCTTTTAAGAAAACTTAGAGTAAGTATTTTATATCATGCATCCATATATTGCAGACTTTTTTCTATATAAATTCAAGTTGTTTATGAAAAGCTTAGGACTTTTATAAAACAATTCTTATAAAGCTTCATATAACAACCAATATTTATAATTGTTTAAAATTCAATAAAATTCAAAAGGGGCAAGGGGTTTTGAGAGATTGTAATTGCAACGCGACATTAACACGCGTGATGACATAGGCACCGACAAATAACGGGCCTTGGCCTTTTGTCACCGTGCGCCTATCGTATGATAGAACGAAATTAATAAAAGGTGTCCTTATCACAAAAATATCAACAAATCCATACAAAGAAAATTTAAAATTAAGGACAAGCCGGAACAAAGTTTTTCGCGATTCCTGGACTCTTCTAGAAGGATTTTCTTAATAAAAGGTCCCGCACATCCAGGGCGCCTCGCACTTTCGAAAAGGCTCTCGCGTTATTACGTATATCGCTTCTAAGAAGAATAAGAAATCCGAGATTCGTTGTTCCGAATAGATCTGTTGCTCGCGGCAATTAATATTCCGTTATCAAACTTTATACATAATATATACTTTGATACATACATAATGTAAATACATTTTTGTTAAAATTATTATACATTTTTTTTGTGTGCGTTTATCAAACATTAAATTTAAATTCGCATGTGATTTATAAGATTCCTTTCCTTCGTACACCGCTCGCAACAATAATATATATCATATTTTCTGATTTATATATATAATTGTGTACGTGTGTGTGTACACTATTATAGTAACATATTTATTTTAAAATTTTACTTATCATTTTGCTATATGTTAAATTATTGTAGCAAACTATTGATGAATTTGCAACGCGGGTTGGACAACAGGCAGTAGTACTAGTGGCTACACCAGGCAAACCAAATAGTAGTTACAAAGTATTTGGAGCAAAACCATTAGAAGATGTAGTGAAAAATCTAAGAACCACTATTATGGAGGAACTTGAAAACGCACTTGCGCAACAAGCGCCGCCACCTTTGCAAGAGGATCCAACATTGTATGAATTACCGCCACTGATAATCGACGGCATACCAACTCCAGTAGAAAAAATGACACAAGCACAACTCAGAGCTTTTATCCCATTGATGTTAAAGTATTCTACTGGTAGAGGCAAACCCGGTTGGGGAAGAGACAGTACACGACCACCATGGTGGCCCAAGGAATTACCTTGGGCTAACGTTCGAATGGATGCACGATCGGAGGACGAAAAACAAAAGGTATGTAAAAATCGATAAGAACATTTTCTCTGTATCACTGCTCTAATTCATCAATAATTTGAAATATAATTAGATTTATTTATTAAAGAAAAATGTCAATAATTATTTCTTTAAGAAAAAATTAAAATATGATTCAAATACACCTATTTCTTAATAATTCTTATTTTTTATATATTTGAGGATATATATTAAAGGATTTAATGAAGATAAAGTAGATTGTATTCAATCAAATAATCTATTCCAGGAAATCGAAACATATTGCTTCGATTAATTTCAGATCTCGTGGACTCACGCACTACGGCAAATTGTAATAAATTGTTATAAATTCCACGGAAGGGAAGATCTTCTACCAGCGTTTAGTGAAGAAGATGATAAGTCTAATGTCTTGATACAACAAGCGACACCTCACTCTTCGTCACATCCATCGCATTCGTCGAATCAAGGGCAAAGTGGAGGAGCACAGTCGCAACAGCAACAAACGGTGGGAGTTGTTCGCCTCAACAGCACGGATTCATCTAAGGGAAACTCTTCGCCAGCACAAATCATTGCCGCGTCTCCCACAGCTCTTGCCACTGCCACTCAGGTGGGAGTGGATGGAGTAATAAAAAATGAAATAAAAATAGAATTTAAAATAGAATTGGATGAAACAACATTTGTTACAGATTACTGATTATCCAATTTCAATTTTGTATCCATTTGCATCTTATTTTGATATTTAAAAACATCACTATTTTTCTTATCTTAATTTCTAATCTCTTGAAATTTGATTTTCATTAATGTTGTTTCTCTCTAAAAATAAGAATAAGAATTGATATAATTTTGAACATGTATGCATTATGAAATACTATCTTGATTTTTGTCGACATTTTGTGTTTGGTTTCCCTTATTTGAGTTACAACTGCTTTTTTTGTCATTCTATTTATTCAATCTTATAATTAAAGAGAATATGTTAAAATACTTTAATTTTCATATAGTTACAATCTATTGTGAAATATTTAATAGAATGTATTTATTTATATTTCAAATTATAATTAAAAGCTGTAGTTAGAATTAATATGTACTTAACAATGTTCTCTTCAACTCAAAGTTGCATTCCAAAATTCTGTTTCAAAAAGTAGAATTAATTTGTACCGTCATCCTGAAAACATGAAATAATGCAACTATAGCAAAATTTACTATTCACAATTTGAAATATATTTTTATAATGTTGCTTTTTACACGTCTGTTCTATTCAATTTAATTCAGTTCTTCATAACTTTAACTTTCATTAGATTGATTATGAAATTTTGGAATGTAACTCTGATATATAATACTTAGTAATCTAATTTGTAATTTTGTTTAACAGATGACAGCCCAATATCCAACAACTGTATTGCAGACAATAACAAATCCTGATGGTTCAGTTTCAATTATACAAGTGGATCCTAATACACCGATCATTACTTTACCAGATGGTACAACAGCCCAAGTTCAAGGAGTTGCTACTGTAAGTATATTATCCAGAAACATATATTTGTCAATTTTATATACCATGTCTTATATGAATTTTATAATATACTAGTTTCTAAGAAATTTGAAGATGTCTAGGTGTAATGTAAAAGATAAATTGATCAATTGTTTAGGAAGTTATTTTAAATACAACACTGAATTAAAATATTACATAAACATGTAATGTGAATCATTTAATAACGTAATTCTGTTCTCAGCATTTATACCTAATTATAGTAATTTGAATTTTTAATTGCTGTCATAGTTGAAAAAAAGCTTGATACAAAATAATCTTTAAGAGAAACCAAAAAATAGTATTAGGCAGCAATCTCGCTTATCGCCCATCATATGTTCTTCATATATATATACACACGAAAATAAAAATCAAATACAAATGGAAATCAATATATAGATAATTATTGAATACGATATTTATATAAGAAACTTTTCAATCTTTTATTTCTAGATTATCTTTATTCTGAAAAGAATCAAAATGAATACAACAAATAATGTGAAAAAAGTTCATGATGTTCTTGATATATTATATAAGTTGAAGAACAAAAAAATCCTTTTTTATTTTATTAATCACATATAATATAGAAGTGCGATTATGTCTCGTTTACGATTGTATTTAGATCCATACAAGTCAAGGAGAAGTGCAAGCATTAGCAGAAGTAGCTGGTAGTACGGATGGTACTAGTGTGGCCGTTGATCTGAATACCGTTACAGAAGCAACATTAGGTCAAGATGGTCAAATCATCCTCACTGGAGAAGATGGACACGGTAAAACAGTTTTTTATAGGCTCTGCACCGTCGCCGGCCAAGAGATGATCGAGCAATAGTTCGTTTTTTTTTTTTTTTTTTTTTTTTCTTTTTTTTCCTGTTATTTTGCATGCTGTCTGCTATGCTCCAATCGGAAATCATTTATATGTGTTGTACTACTTTGTATCACGGAGTAGAACGATGTGGAATAGAGTTTATGTATTTGCCTTGTATTGTATATACATAGCAATTTTATATAAATGGAGCTATGCACAGCGCTTTATTTGAAATCTTGTTCTTTAAGAATCCAAAAAGCGCGTTTATATGTGACTCAGAGTAATTATATAAAAGTATTAATTAAAAAAAGATATCTGCACGTTAATTAATTTAGATTCACATCATTTATTTGACACATGTTTACGCGCTATTTTATGCTACTTTATTTTAAATTTTCTCACTCTTGAGAAATAATAATTATATGTAATATGCATGTAGGTATATTAATTTTCTTTTATATATATATATATATATATATATGTACGTATGTATGTATATATATATATATGTATATGTGTATGTATATATATATATATATATATATATATATATATATCCATATGTATATATATTATTATACATAAGCATATCTAACACATTTGTACATAAATTATCATTATTGTAGCTATATATATCGAAGCACTTTGCTACAGAAAGTTTAATAACGATTCAAGTTAAAAAAAAGATGCAGATGTGCAGATAATTATATAAAGAAAACATATATCTCTCGCTATTGGATTCTTAAAATTTTCAACTTAGTAAACGCTAAAAATGAAAGATGATGCCACGATAATGGAAGAAACTGTTCTACGATTATTATATTTATCATTATCACTAAAAATTGGTTTACCAACTTGAATTAAATGAAAAGAAATAAACTTGCTGTACATAGAGTATTTTTTGTTGATGTTTCATTATTTTTTATACATCTTAGCAGCCCCTGTGTTTAAGTTGCTTGTAATAAATAATGCGTTAATTGTGCTGGTATTTATGCGTTTTTCGAAATTTCTCATGTGATACCTAAAATTTCAAGTTTTTCTTGCAAACAGCTTAAACATTCACGCTGCCCCTTATAAATGCCTTAGTTTTCTTAGAGCGTTAATTGTGTTTTTATATTGCGATTTATATAAGTTAAAAGAATATATTAAAGAAAGAATAATCAGATTGTAGCATTAAATCAAGTATCAAGTATTAAATTTCTGTTTCTCTCTCTTAGCATATATCAATTAAATGCTATTATCTTTCTTTAAATTGTTCGATATGTACATATTATATGTTCCACTTCTATGATCTTTTCTAAGATTTCAATCTTTAACTGACATAGCAGAATTTCATTCCTGTTTTATTTCCCTTATCCTTTAGTTTAAATCTGTATCCATCTCGATAACGGAACATTAAGTAATTACGTTTTAATATTTTTTTCTTTTCGCAAATAAAATGTCCATGATATGACAAATAGCTAAGATTAGCTAAAGAAAAAAGTGTCGATTAATAGTTAAAATAATAAACAATATACATTCGCTTGTATGATAAATTAGTAGTTTAATTATTATTATGGATGCCAAAATTGTCCCGAATATAAAAAATTCGTGGTGCGAACAACACGATTTTTAATCACGCACAGATTCAATCGTTGGTTCGATATTAGCGTTTTGCAAACAGCTTCTTCACGTTGTCGCATTGTGAGTATAATTGAGATATTTGTTTATCATTTTCTCTTTATATTGTCTTTTCCAGTTTGTAAAGTATACATCACTGTGCGCTGTAAATTGCTGCGAATAGTACGCGGAATGTTAAATACATATTTGTTTCAGGATATCCTGTCTCAGTCTCGGGAGTGATCACTGTGCCAGTGTCCGCCAGTATGTATCAGACTATGGTAGCCAATATTCAGAGCGACGGAACGATGCAAGTCGTGACACCGATGGTACAAGTACCCAAGGTAGAGCCAGGAAATGGCGACACCACCATTGAGGCCGTCACTATACAGGGTCATCCTATGACCATGATAAATGCCGCCGGAGAGCATCAAGTCCTTCAAGTAATATCGTTGAAAGACGCCAATGTTCTAACGAAGGCTATGCAAGCTGAGGTTGTTAAGGACGAGGATAGTCAACAACAACAAACTGTATCTAGCCCGGAATAAACGCGTGTTTTAAGTGTAATCTAGTTAATCCAAAATCGCTCCATATCACCTACGGACGTATGCGTGCATACGGCGGTGATATACGGGCAAGAAAGATAAAAGTGTGAGAGAATTAGTAATGGATTGGTGTTGTGTTCTTTTTTTCTCTTTGAGTCACTGTACTTGTGTAGTGTGTCTTGCTCTGACTGCGTACAGCGATTATATCCGAAAGTGAGAATGGAGAGAGTGCGTAATATTGATTAAGATTAGTCTAGAGTATTTGTACTCAAGATTCATTGTAAATGCTTGAGGGTCACTTGCAATTCAATTTCTCAGATATAGTATTAATTTTTAAAGAAATCTATCGCATCGCGCTGGGCGAATGTGTCTCCATTTTCGCGAATAATTTGCGACATTATATTGTTTTTTCCATCGAAACATGAAAACATAATCGTGCTTTCCAGTATTGCGTAAGCACGTATTTCTAGTCTTAAAACCAGGTTGATACGTGAAATACACACCAAAGACATACTTTTAATTAATTCAATAATTATATTGTGGTAAGCGTTCATCGTTTCCATAATAATGCAGTAAATTTGTCCATTTTTTTCTTCAATTTTCACTTTAGCACAAATTGACTTCAAAATTTGACAAAGACAGAAGCTTCTCTAATTTACGAACGTTTGTTGTAGAAAATGAGGAAAAGCACGCAATTCGATTATAAAAAAATCGATCGTTTATGAATATCGAGTCTAGTTTACAAATAAACAGAAAAATTGCGCTTGGACACAGATTAAATGAATCGCGGATCGATCCGTTTGAACAGTTGGAGATATCTTTGAAGTTTGAATTTAAGATGTGTTTCGAAGTATGACATATGTTTGAATTGTGCGATCATAAAAAATTCCGATTATTTTGTTTTTCTATCGCAGAGTTATGTAACAGTATACAGAGTTTTATTTATCTCGATCGCTTGGAGTACATCCGTTGCTTTTTTAAAAAGCAACGAGAGTGCCAGATGGTCAAGATGAACAAAAATGACTCCTGTATATGTAATATATACATAAAGAATCGATAGTAGAGATAAAAAAAGAGTTAAGCATTTCTGACGGGTACAAATAGGATGTAAGATGTATGTTTTTTCGAAAAAAAAAAGAAAAAAAAACAAAAACCAGGATATTAATGGATTTGAAATTTCAATACGCACCAACGCGAGAAGCATGTGTCCATAGTCTTATTTTACAAGAATCTTATATTGCACCATTTACTATTACTACTACTCGTTTTGATTAACGTAATCGTAAGGGGGAATCGTAAAATCGTATGATTTTTATCAATGCGATAAAAGAAGAAGGTAGATATTATATTTCTATGAAGAATTATTTTAATGTCAACCTCTTGAAAATTATCTCTTGAAACTATGACCGAACGTGTATGTATGTACTAATTTTCTAAAACAAAATACGGGATTGTAAAACCATAGACATAGTAAGTATAGACCGAGCATCCATTGTATATAAGTGTATATAAGCGTTAAGCATACGAAAAGAAAGGCAAAAGATGTAAGATGAGTTTCTTTCTCTTTTCAATGCTGGAGAAGTGGGGAATGCTCCCCACTTCTCCAGCATCTTTTGTCTTTCTTTTCGTATGCTTAACGCTTATATACACTTATATACAATGGATGCTCGGTTTATACTTACTATGTCTATGGTAAAAACCAGAATTCATATACATATATATTATCTTCGATCAATTTGAAGGTAATCAAAAGTAATGAATTCTATTTTACATTAAATAGTCGGACTGTGTCACATATGGTATTTAAATCATCAATCCATTTTTATATAATGTATCTAAAACGACGAAAGGTGTATTTTTTGCGTGCAATCTTGTTTCAATGTTACGGTAAGAAAAATTAGAATCGTCTCTTTTTGTAATAATCTTGTTTTCTCAATTATATATTACTATTTTACATTTTTTTTATTATTCCATTTTTTCCATTGTATATAACATACATTATATAAATATGTATTCTACATGCAGTAGTGATCTCATTTTTAAATTTTATTTAGTGTTGATTGTATAAATTGCAATTGAATTGGAAAATTACGTAATAATATTTATTTTAAAGATTGTAACATTGAAACAATAAACTGCCCTCGAAATCGTGTGTAATAATACCAAAGAGATTTTTATAACATTTAGGAAGAAATAGAGTTGAGAATAGAGATAAATACTATTAAAAACGTATCATAATGACTAGATACTAATTGTTGCGTTGTTTTTTAAGATTCAAGGCCACTACATTAATGATGTAATATATCAGTATCTACGTATGTAAGATAAACATGTTATATTTTCCCTCTGTTGTTTTGTAACAAAGCACACACGGAGCATAAATTAAGTTAAATGTCATTCAAGAAAAAAATGTGTATTACGACTTTAGATAATTATAGACATATGTGTATATGACTTTGCTGCATATCTCAATTTCCATGTCAATTTGTAAATAAGTTGTTGTATTGTCATCTCAATTTTGCCTTTACTTTTACTCAAATTAATTACGACATTGAAATTAATCAATAATATTGGCCATACAATTGTATACAACTCAATCGTGCTTACAATGCAACCATATGTAACGAAAAAGAAGATAAATCCGACAATTTTCAGATAATCCATAGAACAAAATTTGTCATTTTGGACAATAACTTTAATGAAACAATTTGGAATATATTTACCAAAAAATGGACAATCACTATTTATGGCAAATATTAAATGTTTTTAATATCATCATATATCTTTGTAATTGATCTTAAATTAAAATTCTAATGTTTTTATGTACGATGTTATAAATTACATTTGATTGATTTTTCATTAACGATAGACAACAATTATAATACAATTGTGTTTTTTTTATTCAACAATGCTGCTGATAATGTGGATACATAAAAGTTCAGCCTTGTTGATATCATTCTTATATGCATCTGAAGCCAGCAACTAAGAGAACATAAATACTAATATTTATAGTATAATTTTTAACCTGTTACATATGATATTCTGATTGACAGGCTAATTCTGGCTTGTCGTAACCTAGCTCCTCGGGTGTGCTAATGCCTAGCTCATCCAAAGTTGGTCTGATCTCTTGAAGAATATAAGGATAGATCTCGCCGAATTATGGTCCAGTTTTATCTTTCACTGATTCTAAGAATCTTACAGCAAGAGCAAGTCATTTAATCTTCTGCAAGCTCTCAATGCTGCGCATATAATTACTGGTTCTGGTACATTATCCATACCTAAATAAAATATATAATTGTTAGCAAAGTTATTTTATAATCTATATATATATATTATATATTAACAAGAGAGGCCAAAACAATGTATAAATATAAACATATTTAAATTTTATGGTATGAGTAAGTAAGAGTTTTGTTGTTATTGATACTTCTGTTATTGATCTTGTTTTCCAGGTATTTTTTTAAGCTTTAAATTTTCATCTTTTTATATCTCTCTAAACTAAATATTCCAATAATCATAAGCAAATTTTATAATATAAATTAATTGATCAATTTAGGACAAATTTATTTTTGAATAAAAATGAAAGTTCTCGATATAATTTATGATTAGAAATTGTTTATAGCAAAATAAAACCTGGAAAAAAATAGTTAAAAATAATTTATAAAAGTAATTTGTTTAAGCCATTCCAACCGAATTTAAATAGATTTTGATTTAAAATTTAATGAAGAGGTATAATAAATGTTAATCTCTCTAAGCTAAGAAAAAACAGTATTTAAATCGTCAAAAAAAATCTGTTCAAAGAACATTCATCGCTGATTTTATCATACTTGTTTCATTTATCAGGTGAAACAAGAATGATAAAATCAGCAATAAATGTCCTTTACAATTAAAATTGACAATCACTGATTTCATTACGGAATATTGATTGATGACACGAGCGCAAGACTCACCAGCCAGATCATTCATGGCCTTTCGAATCTCCCAGTGATCGATGTCGTTGCGGTTGAAGAAATTGACATATCGCTGATCGAACTCCTCGTCGGTCTCCTTGGGGCCGTGGGACGCCCTGGTGCTTTGCACGCCGACGAGGCTAGTAGCCTGTCACTCGGCACCATCCGAGGCCACGCGTGATGCTACGATACGCAACATTCTTTCGCTCGAGGATTTCCTTTTCGTCCGAGAAAGATATCTTCCTCCCGACACCGTTCGTCTTGGTCTGTTGCGTAACCGACCAGGACGGAAGTCAAGACCAACGGGCAGAGTCGTCTGCAACACAGATGGCGCGACTTTCGGCGCGCATTTTTAAATTCGCGCCGTTTCAGACGCTGCGTCTATCCAGGAAATACAGACAGCGAAACCTTACCTTACTTCTCTGAAATTTTAAAAGAAATATGTATTAAGGTAGGTTTGTACAAGCAGAGAGAAACCTGAGAGCGGCCACCTCGCTTTAACGGGTATATTGTCCTAATGCGCTCCCTGACAAAGTAGACGTCAACTACATCCATTACAGTCGATAATAATACATGTTCGTGTTGAGCTATGGTTCATGNATCACAACTTTTTGTATGATTTTTCAAGCACGTTTTAATTTCATGGGGCCTCACGCCATTTTTGTTTATTGTGTTAAGGACATTTATGCTTTTGATATGTCAATGTAATTCATTGAAGTAACTTTTTTATATATTTTTTTTCTCATTATTAATATGTAATGCAAAGACTTTTTGAAAAAATTTTTTTCTTTTTGATTATATTGACATATTAAGAGGTCTAAAGCTATAACAAAACATTTCTCCCACATTAAAAAATCTTTAGGGCCAGTTGGTGTCGCCGCGGCTGCTGCCATTGTATCAGCCAAGAAACGGAAACGACCTCACAGTTTCGAACTAATCCCAGTATCAGAAAAAGACAACAGAATAGGCTTTTAAAGAAAACTTAGAGTAAGTATTTTATATCATGCATCCATATATTGCAGACTTTTTTCTATATAAATTCAAGTTGTTTATGAAAAGCTTAGGACTTTTATAAAACAATTCTTATAAAGCTTCATATAACAACCAATATTTATAATTGTTTTAAAATTCAATAAAATTCAAAAGGGGCAAGGGGTTTTGAGAGATTGTAATTGCAACGCGACATTAACACGCGTGATGACATAGGCACCGACAAATAACGGGCCTTGGCCTTTTGTCACCGTGCGCCTATCGTATGATAGAACGAAATTAATAAAAGGTGTCCTTATCACAAAAATATCAACAAATCCATACAAAGAAAATTTAAAATTAAGGACAAGCCGGAACAAAGTTTTTCGCGATTCCTGGACTCTTCTAGAAGGATTTTCTTAATAAAAGGTCCCGCACATCCAGGGCGCCTCGCACTTTCGAAAAGGCTCTCGCGTTATTACGTATATCGCTTCTAAGAAGAATAAGAAATCCCGAGATTCGTTGTTCCGAATAGATCTGTTGCTCGCGGCAATTAATATTCCGTTATCAAACTTTATACATAATATATACTTTGATACATACATAATGTAAATACATTTTTGTTAAAATTATTATACATTTTTTTGTGTGCGTTTATCAAACATTAAATTTAAATTCGCATGTGATTTATAAGATTCCTTTCCTTCGTACACCGCTCGCAACAATAATATATATCATATTTTCTGATTTATATATATAATTGTGTACGTGTGTGTGTACACTATTATAGTAACATATTTATTTTAAAATTTTACTTATCATTTTGCTATATGTTAAATTATTGTAGCAAACTATTGATGAATTTGCAACGCGGGTTGGACAACAGGCAGTAGTACTAGTGGCTACACCAGGCAAACCAAATAGTAGTTACAAAGTATTTGGAGCAAAACCATTAGAAGATGTAGTGAAAAATCTAAGAACCACTATTATGGAGGAACTTGAAAA